ATTTAAGTCGTTATCGCTTCCTCCTAATTCGGTTCTACTTTTGTCACGTGCAGTAAAGCGAAACTTGGTGCTTCAGATAAGTCTTTAAGATGTTTAAGGGTGTATTTAAGAAGATTCTTTAGAATTTTGCAGTCACATTAGCCGCACTAAAGCTTTAATGAGAAACAGTTTATCAGTTTTTACAGCGAGCTGGATTACAGTATCTCACCTAAAGATTTGGATTGAACTGAATATATCAATTAATCCTTGGCGCCAAAGGCAATCAGTTCATGCCCAGACTTTAGCAATTTTCTGATTAACAAAAGAAACTCATTTAATGGCTACGTCACGACATTAAGCTTGAGAGGAAAACCTCAAAGTATTAGATGTGTAATGTAGAAAGATACCGTCAAAGTAACAGTAGGCTTGCAAGGATTAATGATGCTACAAAAAGAAAAGTGTATGGTAAATAACGAACTTGAAAATGGAGCAAGCTCCAGCCTCTTTTATCATGTTGATTTTAGCAATCAAATAATTTACACTAATGGCGATAAATTCCCTCACTATCTGCGTCCAACTTAATAACAGTATTTCCAAGAAAAGAAAAATACATAACGAGGAGAACGAAGCTTCAAGTTACAATTAATGAAAAAGGAAAAGCGTATGCAGTAATTTGGCCTTTTTTCTTTCATTTTCAACCAATTATTTTTTGTCTTGCGTGTTTTCCAGCTCGTGAACTCTGCACTCCGCTGACCCGCTAATCGGCATTAATGAGGTTCTTATGCATCATGATCAGTTCAAAAAACGCTTCTGGTTCTGTGCCATTATCTTATTAAAACTCCCACAAGACAGAGGTAGGTGAACTCTTAATCTTTCCAACATGTCTTTTCTAAGCCAAAGATGGCTTTGTTCAAGTAATTTTATGATGTGGTTGGCAGCTTTTGTCAAACGCCTTGACTTCATGATTATTGAGACAATCTGACGATTTAATCTCGGGAAGGTTTCAACTCGATGGTAAGACGACGTAATTCTACCAATAACATATCAAATCTTTAAGATTTTATGAAAGAAATTTTAAGGAGGATCTCTTTTAGAGAAAAGCTTAAAGGGAGGATGGTGAAAATTGTAAGCGAAGACTTAAAACTAAAGTTTGAGGTAGATTGTAAGCAAGCGGTAATCCTGCACAAGAATTAACAGGTAACGTTTCTTTCTCTTGTCTTCTTCCCTTTCTTTTAACTCTCTTCTCCTCTACAATTAAATTGGACTTCTTTCCAAGATGGCTCTATTTCCTTACCTTACTTTTACATCTAAAGTCTGTTTAATGAAACGTGTCGTATTTTTGCATCAAATCCATATTTCTTTACACATTATTCAAAAGCAACAATATTCTCTTGATAGCAAACAAATCAATCCACAGAACCCAAAGTTTTGGGTCGATTTTTTACTTGAAATATTCGTGACTGCGTTAAATTCCGTCCAACAATTGTCTCGTCGTTGTCTTAGGAGCTCGTTACATCACGGATCATTTCTACGAAAATCTTTGGGTAGTTTGGGTAAAATTTGGATTATTTCCTTAAGATACTTGTCCCACCCAATGACTTTAGGGAGTTATGCCTCCGTTTAACCATCTAACAAAATTTCGGGGGCCATGATATTTCAACTTTGGCGTTTGTTATACAAATACTCCCAGTATTGGTCCGAGCTAAATTAAATCGTGACGAAGCTTTCAAGAGCTGCGGAAGGAATCACGCATAATTCTAACGGTTGATTGTCCCTTATCAAATTTCACATGATATCAAAACCCATTTGGCAGTGCTCAGTGATTACTAGCAACTTTAAAATTGGATATTCTGTAGTCACGATCAATACTTCACAATGCTGTTCAGTTCCAGCTGTCCGACAGTAGTGTGTTTTATGACAATATTAAATAAAATTATGATACTAAAGAAATGGTAATCATGACGACATTGAAGATAATTTTCATTACGTATGAAATATTACAATGAATGAATATTGAACATTAGCCGCATACACTGCAAAGTGTAACCATGGCAACTCATTCTGCTCTACATGCATTCAATGCTGAAAAAGTTGGTATCATTATTATCATTATTGTTGTTGTTATCATCATTATCATTAAAGCTATTATTATCATTGTTATTAGTATTATTACTATACTAGGTTTAAAAGTTGTAATGAACTCAGGTTCTTATGAGAGGCAACCAAACGTTATGTAGGTTTGGACGAACTTTGCTATGATATCATCAAAATCACTGAATTTTAATTTAACAACAATAACAATACCATGTTTATAAAGAAGAATTTCAAAGGCCGCTAGCTAAATACGCCCCGTAGCTTAGTGCAATGTAAAAAGCTCGACTTTTCTTGCGTGTGCAGTTTTGCGAGCGCCCGATCAGAGGAGCCACGACGACGCGCAGGAAGATTTTTTATATCATTGTTCCCATTTCTCTTGCGTCAACCCCGGCTAGTACAAACAAAAACCATCAGACTTCTCGGCTTTATCTTAAAATGCCGGCTGCCTCTTATATTGTTGATATTGACGGCTGGCAGTGGAGTGTTCTTCCATAGTAAATTTAATTAGACCAGTGGGCAAGTATCATGAAAACTTAATTAAGCCTGGCCAATATCTCAGAAATCCGGTATTGAATAAATTGATTTGCATCAGAAATCAAAACAACATAACAAGGACTCAATAGTTTATCTAGCCCAATTTGGCTCAACCAGCTTCAACAAAACGACCAAAAAAATTCTGTTAGCAAAAACAAACTGATAGAATACTACACTCAAAAGAGGATCACGTCTTCTTAAGTAGAATGAATGTCAGGAATGAGAAATATAGCATGGATTCTTTTTCTCACACAAAAAAATTCCAGAGTCTAAGGGCTTGCGCTCGAGCTAATATCGTCATTTAAATTTTTCAGCAGGAATAAAATCAAGGATTGTATACTTGTTCCCAAATATCGTTACATGCAGTGTCAGCTAATATTTGTGTCAACAATCACTGATCTGAGCACCACTCACTTGTCAAAGCTGAAAGGATAATCAAGGACTTGGTTGATGAGGTAACTATTTTACTTCACTTAAATTAACCGATAGGTACAGTATTCTAGTGCCTAGAAGTGCAAAAAAGCGTAGCGAGTTGTCCTACGCCGGCGCCTCCAGTTTTTCCAGAGATACTTGCGCCGAACACTGACAAGCACAAATCTGCATGTCACGCTGGTAAAGAAAAAAAAATGGTCTAACTGAAGAGAATCACATGGGAAGATAGAAGAATACTAAAGACGAAAATTAATCGAAAACAAGCAAGGACACATATTCGAATAAACAAGAAAACTATTTCAAAGTTCGCAAACTTTGAAATTAGCTTTTAATGAGAGTAAATAGCGGTTTGTTTTGATAGTCTTGAGGGGATAAATTCCATCCTTATTTTGCCTAATGCCTGGATGTTTGCGATGAGTTTAACTACAAATCTTTCAGTGCTTGATCCGAGTTTAGGCGTAGAGAAAATAAGAAGGGTCACATAGATATAGATGTATTTAAAAAAACCATAATTTGCACGATTACTTTCCGTTTCCGTTTCTACCCGCGGACAGAAGCTGAAAGATGGCAACTGAAAGTAATGAAGAGGAGTGATTGCTTCTGTGTTCATGTTCACTCCAGGAATTTGTTTGAAATGGTATATATGATTTTCTATAACTCGCAGCTTCACTTTTTTTTTAAACCTTCTAAGTGGGATTGGACTTTCTCTATTGATCACTGGTTCAACGAAAGCTCCTTCGCCTGAAATACATTAGTGATAGATGATCTAGATTAACACTTTGCAAAAGACGAATTCTATCTGCACGTTAAATACCTTGGCATCTTTTTCAGGGCAAATTGAAGGAATTTCAGTATCACGTCAAATCCCGAAAAAAAATTCCCAATAGAGGTCAGTTCGTGGTCGGAAACAGACTTAGCGTCGCTTGTTCCAAACCCGATTTTCCTAACATGTTTTCACGCTCAAGCATTCGACACGACCTAGTAATCGCATGTTCAAATAATCTTATCAACAAACGCGTTTATTTCGTGTTTTCCCTACTGTTATCTTACTTAGAGGCCAACACTGAAGGCAACATGATCATATCCTCAGTTTTTGCATTGCGACGCCAAATGTGCTAATTAACTGCACATTTTCATTTGTGTAATATTATTACCCTTAACACTGTCTCGCAAGCAAAGTCTGTTGACTGGTGAAAATTCAACTGTAAATAGTGTGGCTAAGTAGGCCAAATTCACAGGAAGTTACTTTAAATTCCTTGAATCGGCCAATGCATGCGATGATTTGACGTCATCATGTTCACACTTATGGGAAAAGCCAGTTTATAAACCTCATTTGGTTTTGTTGGATCTGTCGGTGAATTATGGAAGTTACGCCCATTTTGAAGTGATAACTTTTAAGGCATTTTCGCAGCTCACGTTTGAGTTGACAAACCGTTTCGTTAATCGTTTCTACTGTCTGATGTTTTAATCCACCTAAGCTATAACTGTCTCTAATCCGGTTAATAAGGACGATTATCACAACAAGACAGAGTTTGCTTGGAAAACTATTCAGAAGCAAAGAACCCTAGAATTAGAGTAAGAGAGAAGAAAATTAACTAGATAATTTGATACAAGTAACTTAAGAAAAAGAGGGTCTTTGGAATTCCTTCGAAAGCGTCACTTCAAATCTGCTGTAGGTAAACAATTTGTGGTATGCTCTTTTCCTTTTACTTCTGAAAAGCAAATAGATAAACATTAGTATTCCTTCAACTCTATCAACAGCTGTCTGAGTATTGCTCTTTTGTCTAAATTACTAACTTCTGATTCAAGAAAAACTCTCCTGAAACTACGGACAATTGATTGAAATTGTAATGCACCATATCAACTCCGTGTCCAAATTGAATAAGAAGCCTTGAAATTATATTTTCCTTCGTAAAAATATAACGTTTTGAGAAAACGTTTTCCAAGTCAGCTCTCGTAAAGAATAGACATTTTTGAACGTGATGGCAGATTTATGGAGTGTTTAGTTTCCCATATTTCAAGAGTTGTAACCGGATATGCTTCGCACGGCGAGATTCAAATTTAAGCTTGTCAATATTTTGCTACATTTGTCAATGAGTTGTGGCTAAGACTCTAATGTGCAATTTCTGTCCCTACGTCACTGATGTTAACACTAGCTAAGTGGATCTGTAGAGATCAAAGGTACACAAAATTTTCGCTTTCGCGCATTCTCTCTATCTGGACGTCTAATCTCTGTACCCTGGAGATTTCTTGGCTATATTTTGATAATGTGCTTAAGTGAATGATAAGTGTCGGGAAAACACAAGATCAGCAAGCCGGGGTGAGTATGGCATCGTCTGGACAAGGGGTTTCATAGAAGCGTTATACACCTTGACCGCAATTCTTTTAACTCCTCGTCACTAATTGACACTTCAAGTTCTGGGAAGCAAATAATTACATAGCTCTGTGGAAACGACTCGGATTTCTTTATCCTCCTCAAAAGCGCAGAGCCGGCGCAGCGAGCGACGAAATTCAAAGCAGATTTCATCTCTTCACAGATAGCCTTGGGCAGCCATGATGTTTTCAATCTGCGCTGGTGGAGTTCAACTTTTCTTGCTGTTCGCTCATCTTGCAATCTCCGGCGCGTCGTGGGACGGAACCTCAAAGCCAGGTAAATGAAATACAAGAAAATCGCTTAACTTCGAGGCTTTCTTAATTAATGTTTTGAGTCTCGTGCTTAGCTGTTGACGACATTATTTACAATTTATCATCTGGCGACTTGCGGACTTTAAAGTAGTCTGTCTGCGATGGTCTCTTAATTGATTTTCTGTTCGCTGTTCACAGAGCGTCCTGTAAAATATGGCAAGGAATTCAAGATAACTGTCCCTTCAGTGCTCGACAGTGACGGTAAATTTATTTCGCACGTGGATTGTAAATCAAAACAATACGACTCACGCACTGAACAACGCAGCGGTGGGAGCGAGGGGAGACTTCTGAACTTAGAGGTATCGACATTCGACGGGAAAAAACTGCGTCTTGTTCTCACCAAAAACACGAATTTTACAGCGCCTGGGTTGATAATCGAGAAAGGCGATCAAGTTAGACGATACAAGCTTGACTGTCATTACACCGGACACATAAAAGATCAGCCCAATTCTCTGGTATCTCTCAGTTATTGCCAAGGCTTGGTAGGTTAAGAAGCTTTGTTTACTATTTCTCGCCCCGTGATTAATACCACGATACCACCCAGCTAACTTAGACTTTATATTTAAAAAAAAAAAAAAAAAACAGTTTGGGTCTTATGACAGTGGACAAATATTCCCCATGGATGAGTTTAGTGGTGATCATCATAGGTAGTCCTTGCTTTCGACGTCTGTCCAAAGAACCACCTGTCCCTGCTTTGTGCGGAGAAATTTCGCTTTGTTTTTAATGAAATCACCGTTGTCCAGTTTCTCTTTGTTTTTCCACTGCATTTAATGCTTCAAGACAATGAGTTTATTTTACATGGAAATCAATACACGCGTTTTGCAACATATCCGACAACTCGCTTGCTAAAGACCAGACATGAACAATATACGTGTTTTCATGATCCAATATAAGTAAATTCGCCTAAGAAGATGCCTCTTGTTGCATGTGAGAAAAATCGGAAATCCTCTTGCTCGACATATCTTTTCTGAAGCTTAGCTAATTTTTTTTTCCGCAAACCATTTAGTGCTGCCTCTTTTTAGAACCGCGATTTAAAGGAGGTAGGGCACGTTTCCGGACCTGAAATGCTTGCTAAAAATATCCATTACGCATTATAAGAAATGATCTAACAAGCCTGGTGGCTTCTTTGTAGCCACAAGCAAAAACACGTCATGCTGCGAGCTGGAGTTTTTGTTTGGACGAAACAGAGAACTGTGTTACAGTTCTTCCAGAGGTGTTGATTTCCGAGTGTGCAAGCGATGACGGAAAATTCCTCCAAAAGCAAAGATGCTTTGTTTTTGTTCCCACGGTGAAAAGCGACGTTGTGCTTCTGTCTTGTCAACGCACGATCTAATCCTAACTTTTCTTCCGTCTGCATTTTTGACTAATTTTCGGGCGGAAGGGCGACGGGCGGCCTTTTTCAGGAGAATACTCGGAAGACAATTTGAGACATTAATGTGCACAAACCATAGCTTTTAAATAAACGATAAACAAAGAAAAACAGAACAAAAAGCATCTATTTTTCATCTTCGCGCGATAACCGTACTGTGGCTCCCCACGACTCGAGAGAGGCGAGACGATTATCTAAAATTAACCATTTTATCGATTCAAAATTCAAGTCAAACCAGTATATGTGACTTGCATTACTGAGGGGCTAATACAGAAATTAAATATAAGAGATGTGTTTTTGTCGTGCTGGCCGTATTTTGATTAACGAACGATTATCTTTTGTCTCACGATAAAAAGTCATTAAAGTGTAGTGACTCTATATCTTGAGTCCAACGATTAAAAGTTCACTCGATCAAAATGATTCATATTTGCGCGCAATAAAACTGTCACGTCAACCTAGTTTATAGCAGGGATTCTTTTGGGAACATGTGATCTTTCTCAGTAGCTCAAACGTTTTCAAGGAATGAGATCTCACAAGACGTTTCCTGTACGCAGTCCATCGCATCACCTCGTAATGATTGGATCAGCAATTTCGAAGAAAGTTGCATGCGGAATTTTACCTTTTAACAGGCAAAGGTCAAAGATTCGTTTTTCATCTATCCGAAACTGTCATGTACATGTGTGGAAAAGAAACGAGTTCTATAAGATAAGACGCAAAATAACTGACGAAACCAGAGTGTGAAAGTTTATAAGCTATAAGTTTATAGGCGACATGAAAGGACTTGCGGAGAAACGTTTTGTTGAATATAGTTTACTTCACGAGAATTAAATATTGTTTCAGCCACGAACTGTTTCGCATTTCCCGTGTATATCCAAAACACCCAGCCATCATTCAAAATATGATATTTTTAATACATGTTAGCACATCTTTCATACAAAATCAAACCACTTTTGTGAATTTGTCCTTCTGTTGCTTTTGGAATTTCTCAGCTCGCTCAAAATAAGGAATTTCTTGACTGGCACAACGAAATCGCAGTCAGCAGACCCGTAGATGAAATCTGATATTGTGGAGCGCTGAGATGGTATTTTAATCGCGTCTACCTTATCATAGAAACTACTGCTTTTGATGCTTTTTGAGAAAATAAAGATTTCAAAGATGTTTACTTTATTCAAGACTGGCTCTTTTGTCGATTTGAAGAGCACTATCTCAAATGGCATCTAACGAAAATAAATCGTTCTGACGTGTCGGTAAACAGAGACCAAAAAAGTAAAGAAACGGTTGAAAGCTTTATCTCCCAACTGCCTATATAAAATTTAAAATTTCGACATCGAATCGCATTTTGCCATCCTAAGATGCCTTAGAGATGATTGAGAAAAGACTGCTTTTCTTGCGTGCGCTACAATCTTGTGTTGCTTATCAGACCGACAACCAATTAATTAGACAACGAGCACGTGATTAGCTGCAAACACTAATTGATTTTCCAAATATAATAGCTATTGATGATCAGATAATTTAATGAACTAACGCCTTTATCATTTCATTCATCTTTGACAAATGTTTTTGAAAGACTCAAATTCACGCTCGCACGTCTGTGACCTCTGATCCAAATCGATCGTGCACGATTCCACCAAGTTTATTTAACCTTTTGTAATCCGCGCTAATGATCCATTACAAATCTCTTGTAACCGCCATAGAATTTTCTTTGATCTAAATACAATTTCTCCCTAGACTGTAAAGGACGGTAAAATAACTACTAAAGTACAAGTTCTGGCACTTTGGTTTTGAACTTTGGTACTTCACTACAACTACCATTATAGATCATGGATATAATCATCTTTCAAGAATGTCAAAATATCCCTTGCATAAGTATTGCAGATCTATTTTCTGGCCATTTGCAGAAAAAAGTATTCAGGGATATTCCTTACGTTCTCTTCATTCCGGTCTGTCTACTGAAGGAATGTGATAAAATTTTCCTCACACACATTTAGTAGGGCATCATTCTTTCTGTCACTAAAAGCATCTTCTTTCCAAGCACGATATTAAACTGAAATGAATTTATTGCATGCCCAATTCCCTAAATTTACTTTAGTCGATGACCCAATTTTAAAGGCAGGTCACCATCAGAAGAGGTATTTTTTCCGATCCACAGAGTTTAATTTCGTGGGGTGTTGTTTTCCTTTCAGAAAAGACATCTGGCGCCATTTTTTGAGGATCCATTTTGACCTTGTCCACTTGAAAGTCGAAAACATGTTTGATATTTAAGTGGGAAATATTACATGCGTGCTTTTTTCCCGTAAAGTCCTAAAATGTTACACGAGAGCTGTGTTTCAAGGTCAAGAAGTTCCTATTTAAATGATGTTTTGTGGCAATGTGGCACACTTGAGATGGAATAGATGTGGCTAATTTTTTTTATATTGTTCTTACCGTTAAACGCATTTTGCTACCAGCTATTTTGTTTGACCTATCCTAGAATGTTGAAAATGTAAAATTCTTATCACCTTTTCATACCAAGTACAGATGCAGGAAGTTGTACTCCAAAGAAACTTCCCGTGAGCACGAGTTCTAGAATTTTCGAATATGGCAAAATTTCGTTTTCCACGGAATTTCTATTTTAAGTTGTATTCAACTCCCTGGATAACTTGTTCACACTTTTCATCGTTAATATTGTTTCACTTATCGGCATGAAGATTGGAGTTTTGTGTTTCGCTAATGATGTTTCAATCGCCGGTCTCCCATAGACTGTGCACCAATCCAATTTTTGTCCAAAGCAGTGTTTAAGGATAGCAAGGATTGGAGGTTTAATTAAAAACACTTTTTCGACAGTGACAAGAATGTCATCCACCAGAACGCATAAGACAATACTGAACATACCAAGGTGAAGAAACAAATGAATGATCTGTAAAAACATATGAAATTTCAGTCGTACATTAAGAAGTTTTCAACAGCGCGAAATTATTTCTCCGTGTGTTATACCAGACGTAATTTTATCAGTATTGAAACAGACATCAGCATTCTTTTACATGTTGTCTCGTTAGCCGCGTATGCGGTTTGTCGCATTTCGTATATCCTTGGAACCAAATGGCTAAAATTACTTTTATGAAATACATTTCCTGGAGCGAGAGGAGGAGTATTCAACAGAGCATGATGCGAGAGGGGAGGGGAGGGGGGAGGGGTGGCTATCCCGGTGGTCAAACCCTTTCTCTACTTGTTGCATATCATGACTGATTTAATTCTATTGGACGACAATTTGTTTATAGCATGAACTATTTTCCTTAAGACAAAGCTCATTACGTAAATATAATAAGAGCTCGGAAAAGAAATAGGTTGTTTGTTGTCACGAACGCGGGACAAAGAGAAACGTCGGAGAGCTAGGCCATCACTAAGTTCATATGTAACACGCGTCCTGCATTCTGCAACGATTAGCAAGGTCGAAAGCGTCATGTGCGTTTTTAGAATAAGAAAGATGATTTTTTTTTTGTCTCACGCCCTCGACAAGACGAAAAAACATGTTTCCCGACGACTTAGATTGCTAACCACTTCTAGAAATTAAAGGGTTGCAAATTAAGTGGAAAAGTTCAACTCTGTCATACATTCATGACGAGATATTACTTTACATTCCAGAGAGGTTTCATCCAAACTGAAGATGGAGTTCATTATCTCATTGAACCCGTTCAAGACCGAAACGCCTCAAGCGCCAGCGATCAACACTTGCATGTTGTGCACAAAAGGTCAGCGGGTCATGACTCTCTGCCGCCTTGGAGACAAAAAAACCATTTATGCTCAGATCGAGGTACACTGTTACTGCTTTGATGAGGTATTTTGCTTCAAATGTAAAAATATTGGAGTCTCGACGGCCAGAAGTTCCGGGAGTGAAGTTGGTGGCGTATACCCTGTACTTTCGGAGCAAAGTTAGCGAAAACAAATGACTGAAAACAAACAGAAACAGACAAAAATCACATTTCGATATAAGATGATAACGAAACAAAACGTACGAAGGAATAAGCCTTGGGTGGGGGCTTGTGCGCACGCAAGGTGGTTGAGATTTGATTGGAGGGGTAGCCAGGGGGGGAAATGGGGCTTAAAGGTGAGCGGCTAAAAAGTAAGGCGGATCTTTTAAGGCGGGAAGAGTTTCATAACACAGGATTTTACGGTATTACAAGGGAGATTCGAGGGCGAGCGCACTTAAATTCGACGAAAAGAAAAACCATTTGAAGTTTCAAACTTTGGAGAGTGATAAGAGTCTTTCTTACATTTTACTCAAAGAGCCGATAACTCTGAGTCGCCGACTCCGTTCGCCACTCATCGAGATGAGAAGCCAACAGCACGGGCGTCAAAAACGTTCGGTCAGCACAGAGAAAAACGTGGAGATGCTGATGGTGGCTGATGAAACTATGTACGCATTTTATAGAGACGGATTGGAGGAGTATCTTCTCACCATAGCTAATATGGTAGGTTGGTATAGTTACACGCTTATACCTTCTCTTTGTGATGATTTTGCTTTGAACAGCAACATTTTTAACAGTTTTGTAAGTCATATTTATAGGAATTTGTTATGTTTCATTGTGCGCAAATTTGAGGTGAATTCCACTGCCAACACCCTGTAGTGCTGCGCAACATTAGATCTCGCGTTAGAATTAAAAAGAAAGTGTCAAAGAGACTAAAACCTTGTTCACAGTCCTTCCAAGTCGTTGTGCCTTTCTGCAGGAATAATTTGAACCCTTCAACAGGGCGTGAAATTGCGCCTAATACAGGCGCCAATGCGACTAAATTTTTCACTTTGGCGACCAAATCCTGGAAATTAGTCGCCAAATTGGCGACTAGAATGTATCATCATAACCTTACCAAGAGATATAGTGAATTAAAAAGATTTGCAAAGATAAATCCGCGGCGAACTTCCTCGTTAAGTTTGTTTCCTAAACGCAACACATGCATCTCGATCGATAACTAGACGCCATCTTGGATTTAGGTGAGCTTTAACGTTGTATATCGTCCATCCTAGTGTCCACTTTGTAGCACGTTAAAGATCTTTTCCCAAATTTAATTTTGGAGGGTCTATCTAGAACGCCGACAGCTTAAAAAAAGCAGGTAATTTAGTGTTAACAACTGGGTTGAAAACGTAAATTAGCCACCGTAAAGAGTAAAAAAGCTGACGTTTCGAGCGTTAGCCCTTCGTCAGAGCGATTAGCTTAAAAAAAGGTTTTGTTTGTCTTTGAAAATGGCGACCAACTTTTTTCCACTTGGCTACCACTTTGAAGAATTTAAGAGCCAAGTGGCTATCGGAAAAAAAAAATAGTTTCACGCCCTGTTCAATCCCTAAGAGTGACTGGCTTCAAATTTCTCCCTACACTATCACCCTTGATTCAAATATACAGTCATGAGAGTGATCACCAATTTAAGAAGCTCCTGATTCTCAAACAAACTCTCCTTTGTCTATACCATAAGAAATATAAAGAGAATAGTGTGGAGAATATCAATATCAATCTGGGGTGAAAAGGATTGATGAATTATTTTTGCCCTCGTTATAGTGAAATTTAGTTGGCTGATGTTACGTTTGTACCAATTTGGAACTTGACTAAATCTTTCAAGCTTGTTAACATTGTAATTTTCGCATTTTTCAGGTGAGCAACATATTTCGTGACCCAAGTATTGGAACTGCGATCAACATTGTTCTCGTACGGGTGATGATTCTGAGGGAAAACCCGGTAAGGAATCCCAAAGGAAGAACAATGGGGCTTTGGGGCGAAGGGGATAAACATTGGCTATTCTAGTTGCCCAAGATTAGTAAGGACACCGTAACCGTACCTCAAGTTTCAAGGTTGCCCTACCCTGCCCAGGCTCCGTCACTGTCGTTGTTTGGTATCATCACGCAACACCTTCTAACGTAACCAAAAAACGGCTGCAAATGAGTCCAACAAGAACTCAGTGTGACAATAGGCAAACTCTCTGAGGGGCGAGAGAACGCGAGTGACCAATCCGTAATTTGTATTAGCTTTAAATCTGATCGGTTGAGAAAGTGGCGCGAGTTTTCTAGACCAATCACACACCGAAGCGAAACAAAACCTTTGAAATTCCAGATCACTTTCGTCATGCAATTTTAAATTGCTCTAATATTTCATTGCTTTTTTCGATGATCCTCAGAGTGCCCTGAAAGTCACCCATCATGCGGGTCACACACTGAAGCACTTCTGTCGTTGGGCGTCTCTAATAAATCCTAAATCAGAGGAACATGCCAATCACCACGATGTCGCAGTCTTAGTAACCAGGCAAGTGCGTTTGAGGTTTCTCAATAGGCCATTTCAATTCCGAAATGCCCCAAGCCTTGGATTCAAAACAGAGGCAGGTGCAAAGGCTGTGATAAGGATATAATTTGCCATGAAAATTAAAGTAACACTCATTTTAGCATAAAGGTTTTGCATCTGGCCTCATTTTGAAAGTGAGGGCTCTCGGAATTCGTAAATGACTTGGTAACTCAAAGATGAATTGAAACCATTTTTTTACGCCATTGCATGCCTCTTGGAAAAGAACGTTGATTTTGTTCATTGTGTTTTGTTACGTGTTTTCCTCTTAACAGACATGATATCTGCAAAGGAATCAACGAACCTTGTGAAACATTAGGTAAGTGAGGACTGGTACTAAACTTCAAGTTAACTTCAAAGGATGCTCACAGCACTTGGTTGAAACTCACTCGAGCGACGATGTTGATTCTGCGACCGATGATAATAAATCATTCGCGACAAAGCGCGGGGAAACGCGGGCATGCCTAGAAAGGAATTTGCTTCCCATTGGTGCAAGAATGGCATAGTTAAGAACCACTTGGGGGGGAGGCAGCATGCAATTGTGAGAGATGCTTTCTCTCCTCATTAGAAAATCTTGTCAGGGCCATTGTTAGTTCATTATTTAATATCATATCTTCTTCCTGTTTTCACTGTTATTTCCGTTTTCTTACTTTTAGCTATCGTTTTAAATTCTCTGTAACAGTCAATTACCCATTCATATCAATACATTTTTTAAATTCGGATGTTCTTACACTCATTTTTTGCCAGGTCTTTCACAAGTGAATGGTCTTTGCACCAAAGATAAAAGCTGTAACGTGAATGAAGATAATGGACTGACTCTGGCTTACACCATTGCTCACGAGATAGGACACAAGTAAGACGGTTATCCATGAACCCCTAAGATTGATAAGCATCTAAGTTCTCCCAGCAGGATTACCCCTGAATCAAGCACTAAGGTCACGAGAATAAATAAAATGATCGCGTATTTAACTCGTTCTTGATTTTAACTCAAATTCTCCTTATAATTACCAAAGAAAATGCATAGAGAGCAATATGGAAAACTCGCATACTAATGTTAGGGTTATAAATGGTTGTATTTAATGATCTTGCGACACCTAAGCTGTTTTTGGATTTCACCTCAGGCACAATAAATTGACACGCTTGTCAAATAAAAACAAACGGACCATACAGTTATAACAACTCTGACTGAGTTCATCTCCAAATTGCAGTATTAGGAATGAGGACATTTGAGTTAATGAGCTGTCGATTTCAGAAATTCTCTTTGTGCTTGTCTATTAGGTTACTTAAAATCAGTTTAATGTCCTTCGCTTTAAGCTAAGTGGAAGCTTTTTCGCTATTGGAATTTCAACCATTAAGTCCGTAACGTCAGTTTGGGTATTGGCAGTACTGTTCTGCTTACATTTCCTCAAGCACTGACAACGAGAATTTTTCTCACAATTAATTAGTGATCAAATCCTCTATTCTCAAGACTTGATTGTTCTATTCAGTAGTGATACTGTGCGGAGAAATTAGATGCTAATCGCTCCTCGAGGTTAAAGGTTAAAAACCCATCGGTGGATCTAAGGAATCAACACACTATGGACGGAGGAACAAACAGTTCGTAGCCTTAATTCTATTTTCTTTATCCCTGAAATTATTCTATCAGATCCCTTCCTTCCATCAGGGAAACGGTAATTGTATGGTCGGCGGAATCAGGCCGATAATGTGTACGGGCCCGCGATGAAGTGAGAAAACATCTTCTGATAAGATAACTTTGAGAGTGAATAGAGCACAAAGTCGTTGTTCCTTAATTCCTATTGGCCAAGGCTGCTTTGTCTATCAAAGAAACAGCCAAACATTTCTACACGCTAGACGTTTATTGTGACGACTGAAATTTTCGGAAATAACAAATGAATTGCGGTTTTCTTATTTCCAAAACGATATCTCTGTCTATCGCTCCCTGAATCACTTTATCGATTGTTTTTCTAATTTTCTTGCTATCGCTTAATGTAAACCAGTACATGCTTAAATACAGAAATAGCATCGCACAATTTAAATCGAAATTGTCTAATCTGTGATACAAATGTGGATTATTACATGAGTGACTGACTAGCGATCGTCTTTAAGTCGCCAAATGTTAGGACAAGACGAGCCATTATGAGAGACTATACCTTAATTACATGATATTAACGTCTTAATTTGTGGCAGTAAAATGGAAGCACCGCAAGAAACGTAAACCAGATACATTTGATCTCTCAGCAAGTTCGTTAGATAGGGGATCCGTCATAATGGAGACAAGTGGTCGGGCTTTAGTACGAATTGGTTTGCAGAACAATCTCTCTAATTTGCAATAATAGCACAACCAACTATCAAATAGTGTACAGCGCTGAGTTGTATATACTCAGAGAAAATAACTGCGATTTCGCGCAAGTATCATCGTGAAAAATAAGTTGCGATTAGTGTATATAACTATTTCATTTATAGGTCAAATACTACGGGGCAATGGCACAGACAGTAAGTCTGAAATAAAATATTGTGGCTGATAAGAATTGATGACACTCATTGATTAAATTATCTGTGGGATTACGGACGTGGATTTAGGGTCGCTTAACATTTGCACGGTAGAGATAAACATCAGACCGCTTTTTCCTTGATTTTGACGTGTGATATTGTCGGCGTTTTCTACCTCAAGATCTTCTTGGCTACCACAGATTATCCAGATAACAGTCTTTTTGCCAAAATTAATTAATCTTGGACCGAAATTACATCGGTAATCCGCATAAGAATTTAAAATGGCGTATGAAAACACGAAAAAGGGACTGAGCATCAAATCAATCTTTCACTTAAGAGATGTAGTTTTACGCTGAAATAAATTGCAGGTCCGATAGAAATCAGGTCTTCGGAGAGGTGAGTCGCTGAGAATCAGTCGTTCCCCTTTTCCGTTCGGGGTTTTAGTAGCATCCAAATAAAAGGTGCCGATTGAGGAAAGAGAACCCACAGATATGTGGCTCAGAAGGAGACGATTATCTTACTTGATGAAAAAATAGCCGGAAACTCGCTCTGCAAAATATTTCTTCTAGTGTGGTGCGAAAAGTAATCCCAGGAGTATAATTTATAATACTCCTTGTATTCCTGTTAACTTCCACCTAATTCATGATATTTGGCTCAACTGCCCGCACATTAGAAATAAATAGGAAATGAATGAGACATAAATGGGAATTAAACTCGATCCTTTCAGGTTTTAAAATATTTGGAACACATATCTGTTCACGATTTTCCCAAAAATCTATTTGTATTACGGAACTGAGGTAAGTTTAAAAAAGGCGGAGGAAAGAAACTCGATGGTTTGACGGAAGTGCCATGTAGGTGTCTATCAGGAATCCTTTTCACTCGATATTCGACTGTTCAAAAAACTGTTCCAAATTTCTTGTCTCCTCAGCTTTGGAATGCTTCACGATGGGAACGATAACGACTGTAAGTGGAGTCCAGACAAACCCTTTCTGATGTCTCCACAGCTGGAAGCCTCAGGCCGGCAACAGTTATGGTCCTCTTGCAGCAGAAATTATCTCAGACGCTTCTTGAAGTAAGTTATGTTAACGAATTTGTGGTCGAGTTCTTACCAACGTAAACTTTAATCAATCAACCAATCAGAATGATTATGTTGTCATTCACAAACGCATAAGTCACTTTCTTTAGGTTTGGGCCGATTTTCCTGCGCTTTCCCTAACCACGCGTTTTCTTTTAACTCTGATTGGTTACAGCATCATTGGGCTGACGTACTTTTCCCGCGCTTTGAACAAGTCAAGTGGTCTGACTCCTATATTTCTTTATTCAAAATCGTGATTATGGGGTCTTATCAGAGACAACTATCTTATGGTTTGTACTTTGAACTACAAAAGAAAACAGGGAGAAAATCTCAATGTTCCTTTGTTTTACGAAAATTAAGCGGGCGAACAATGGCTTTTTTTATAACCACAGTTAAAGGAATGGTATTGATTATTTCTTACGGCCTTAATGATTTGATTACGTTTTCCATTTCTTCAGCAAAGGATGGGGACACTGTCTTGATGACGAACCTGCAAAGCATGACTTTAAATTTCCCAGAATGCTTCCAGGGGTGATCTACGACGCTGACCACCAGTGTCGCCTGCAATACGGTCTGGACTCTTCCCACTGCACAGGCATGACGGTAAGTTAGAAACATCGACACAGTCCGAATCATTATCTCTAAAACGTTCGGTGCTCTCTTACACCTCGTTCTTCTCTTGAGCTTCTTTAACATCAATTGTGGGGAATAGTAATTTGGGTCTAAATGTTTTGCGTGTGAACTCAAACAAGCGCATATTTTCGAATCGTGTACATTTGACATTAATCTCGCACCTAGATCCTACCGTGTAACTGTAACTAAAATGTACAACTGCTTGGTTGTGGAAGGTCTGGGTACGAGACTAGTTTACAATAAATGTGTTCATGAGACTATGGCATAACGTGAAAAGAGGGCTACTTCACTGACACAAGAGATGTGATCACTTAGCCCTAATTAGACTCCTTTTCCTTATGGTATTCACGGTTTTGTCAATCAAAACCCAAAATAACCAATTTTTAGTGATTACATAAATACTTATTGATACGCAGAATATCTGTAATCGATTGTGGTGCCGAGTCGGTAAGGCGTGTCATTCTAAACTGGAGCCAGCTGCTGATGGAACAAAATGTGGGGATAACAAGGTACATATTGAATTGATTTTTAGTGATATTGAAAGGGAAGCCTCTACAAAAGTTGGTTGAAAATTTACTCTTTCGATATCTGTGCTACCAAAATCATCGAGACATTATTGAAATGTTAGACAACGGATCAGAACTTCAACACCACCAAATGATGAGCTTTTTTTTACCCTTTCGCCCCAAAGAGTGACTAACATCTAATTTCTCCTTGCAATAACTCTCCTGAGTCACACATGAAGGTCACAAGAATAAAGGAAATGAATCATCAGCTAAAGAATCTCTTGATTGTTAAACAAATTCTCTTTGTCAACACCTTAAGAAATGTATGATGAACAGTAGGGAGAATATGTATTATGATTTTAGGGTGTAAAGGATTAAATAAGAACCAGGATTATTTTCGACCAGTTTCCTCAAATCATGTAGGCTACTTTTTTTTTCTCTGAACTGAGATAATTTTGACAAATACACTTTTAGAATTCCACTATCAACAGCGTTTTTAAGTATTCTCTAACAAGAATAACGAGCGTACTGAAACCTGGAGTTTGAAATCGAAGAATAGATGGACTTACTGATAAAATGTCTCAACACAACCATTCCGTTAAGACAACCGACGAACTCAATTTTAGTCAAAAATAAAGGTGAAAAAAGTTAGGCGTCGACTGGTATTCATTCTGTGAAGACGTAACACTTCACATCTTTCTTATCATGTAATTCTTTAGTGGTGTTACAAAGGCAGCTGCATTGAGAGAGGGGAGATACCAGAGAGTGTGGATGGAGGCTGGGGTCCGTGGAGAAATTTCAGCGAATGTTCCAGGACCTGTGGTGCTGGAGTCTCCTTTACAGAGAGACATTGTGATAATCCAAGGTTTGTTTTGATATTAGAGCGTTTTTACATTTGCAATGTCGTAAAACCAAATAAACTGAACCATTACCTTAACCCCCTCCAATAACAGATCTTAACAAATGTCAACATCCCAAGAACAGAGCTCAAGTTACGAGTGGTTATAGTTTAGGATCTAATTTGCTGAGAGGATAGTATTGATGATCTGAATCATTTAAATAGCTTTACAAAGCAAAATCATTGTCATGTCGGAGTACTTTCGGCTCCATCGAAAACTGGTCGGATCTCAGGTCAGAGCTTTGAGGGGAGAAAAAGGTGGTGAAATTCAATTATTTTATAGGAGGATCTATTTTGCAACGGGTTTACGAGGCAACTGTTCGTGCTGGAGATTTGCTTTTGCTGTCCAACAAAAAATGTGATAATTGAGTTAGTTAAGAGGTCGTTGCCATATCTATGATCAGTCTGTTAATTCTTTCTGCACCTCAGACCGGCTAATGGAGGAAAGTATTGCATCGGGGAGTGGAAAAAGTACAGACTTTGTAACGCACAGGTGGGTATATTTCACAAAGCGCCTTTCGATAGAGTATCAAAAAACCCAAACCAAAGTAATATCAGCAGGCAATCAGAACAAAAGGAAATATCTCCAGGACCGATAAAAACTCAAACTAAAAACATGTTAACTGTCTGAAGCGCTAGAAACGCGGTCGACCTAGTCAAGACTGTTTTAAGTCTTGCATGTGATTGGTTAAGGAGACGACACAAGTTTTTTTACACCAATCGCAGATTACTTTTAAACCTTAATTGTAAATTTCTCAATTCTAAAATTAATATTGCTTTGAAGATGATTCCTATATTGTTATTCCTCTTCCAGCCGTGCCCTCCCGGCAGCTTAGGTTTTCGTGAGTTGCAGTGTTCACAGTTTGACAAAAAACGCGTAAACAACAGACGATGGAAATGGAAACCACGCTATTCGAAAGGTAAAGTTAAGAAAATGTTGGAGTAGGCCATTAACTCAACTCGCTACCTGATATAGGACCGTAGAGCGTGTACAAGGTTATGCGTTATACGCATATACAGTAGTTATACTAACACTTGGGCATGTTAGTGTAGACACCACCTCTCCTGCAAATGCCTTCGATTTCACTTTCCTCCCGCAGTGTTCTGTCAAGACTGATCAAAATGTGTTTAGTTAAAGTTTCGTTATATCTGTCGTATTTTTAGTCTCTCCTTGTGAGTTGCACTGTACGCCAAAAGGGCTGTTTGGTTTGTACTTTTCCAAGAAGCTGGCTGATCAAGTGCGTGACGGAACGCCTTGTTTCCCAGGAAAGCGTGACGTGTGCATCAATGGCAAATGCGAGGTTTGTAAGCGAACCAAATCCTCTCCTAGGAGTGACCACTTAGTGATTTCTCTTTACAATAGTAGTACGAGCAAAGGTGACGAGAAGAATGCAAATACTATGAACGAGAAGCTCTCTGTTCTACCTTCAAATTCTCAGAGCTAAAACTATAAGGGAATTATGGCAGACGACGAGGAGAATTGAGTTCATGAAAGATCTTGAGGCGAGAAAGGTTAATGCAAGTCTTACGAATCCATGCGCAGCCTTGCAAGATGAAAAATGTCTACCATACACAAGTCGCGATTGCTCGGATCAATATATTATTACAGCAGTTTTGGCACTTTTCAGTGTTACATTTTCACGGCTGACTCAAAATCGAAACTCTCATCCAACTAAAAAATGCGTATTACTGCGCTGGAATGATTTCTTGTGAACAATAACATTTAATTGATGCATTTTCAACCGCTATGGAGAGACGGGTATAATCTTGCTCTTAAACTTTTCGTTTGTTGCCTGAGCCGGTTTAACTTAGCATCCGTATTTCTTTTGTTTTCCGATAGCATGTTGGTTGTGATAATGTTCTCCATTCAAATGCAAAAGAGGACAAATGTGGTGTTTGTCGCGGTGATGGAACAGCGTGTGAGACGGTCAAGTCAACTTTTAACCAGAGAACTGGAATAGGTATATGGATATTGAATATTAATATTATCATAATAATTATTACCATCATTATTATTATTGATAGAATTCTAAACACAGGTGACTTCACTTTTCTCTGATATCAGTTAAATCAACTTTCAAACAGTTACAAGATAACTTGGTTTTATCAAATGAGATGACAATGTAGGCCACCGTAGTGAGATTTAAAGCTGAAGTTTCGAGCGTTAACCCTACGTCAGAGCGAATTTTACGATTCGAAACGTTAGGTTCAAAAGGTCTCTACGGTGGCCAATTTACATCAACTCAGTTGATGAAACAAATTGTTAATCTTCTCGTACTTCCCCCCTCCCCCACCCCCCAAGGACATAGCACGATATTTTCATTAGAAGGTTAACTTATTTCTTAAACAGTTAGATAATACTTACGCCATAGTTACCACAGCTGATCACACTGAACACCCAACCCCTGAAAATTGAATAAAAATCGGGGGGGGGGAGGGGGAAAGGGAAAGAGGGGGAGCAACTAACTTTGGAACGTAACCCCGGATTTGATTTGGTTTTTAAGGAAACTCAAACTCCGTTTCTGTAATGTAACCTGCAGGGTACGTCGAAACAAAAATCATTCCGGCTGGTGCCAGAAATATCCGCGTTGAAGAAGTAGCTGGCGCTTCAAACTATTTGGCCCTACGGTCGTCCAGCGGTAAATGGTACCTGAATGGTGATTGGTACATACAACAGAGTGGCGAATACTCTGCTGGGGGTACCATGGTGTTCTACAAAAGGACACACAATAGGGAAAGTTTTCAGGCCCTGGGACCGACTACTGATGACCTGCATATTATGGTATGTTGGGAGAAAATTTCAACCGAATAAAATTGTCTGCAGTCCCTTGTCTCTGTTTTACAAGCTTACATATGAAAATGAATATCTCGTAAGCGCTCGGTAGACATTTAATTCAATGCCAGACCTGAGAAATTGAAAGTTTATCGAGTTGATATCTTATCCCGTTTTGAGGGAAATTTCTGATTTTCATTTCACTTAGGGAGGGGAATCTTGAAATAATTGAGATCGTTTATCTTTAAGCTTAGGGATTAATTAATTCAACGGGACCCTTTGAATAGGTAATAGCTGTTCTAAAATAAAACCTGTCTTTATTCCTGCAAGCTCCTGTTCCAAACCAAAAATCCAGGCATTGAGTTCGAATATACGATTCCCAAGAACCAAACAGTAACCCACACACTTGTGTTCAAGTGGAGATACAGCGCTTGGACACCATGTTCAGCTACTTGTGGCGTTGGTAAGTAGGAAACATAAGCAAACTTCAAATCAAGATTGCGCCAAAAAATTGATCAAAAACTAAACTTTCGTATCCCCATTTTTTGTCTTTTGTGGTGAATAGGGGATTGTTTTCTTTCTTTCTTTGGTTTGATGTTTTGGAGGACGAGAAGAACAGTAAGATGAATTATAAACAGAGAGAAAACTTTCTCGTTCACGTTTGACCTTAAAATGATGCGTTCCTTTTCATCTCAAAAAGAAGCTGTAATTTTCGAGTGCGCCAAGAAAAAACTCCAAGTCACAGATTATAGAGGATTTGGTGTAAATATAAAACACTCTACTAAGATAACTGTACCTTCCTATGTAGGTTTTTTTATAGGCCCACGACGACAGTTCGCCTGTGTAAGATGCGTTTTTTAAGACTTACATCGGTGTGCTTTAATAAACAATCAAATCGTGAGTTGTTGATAACAATGCAAGTGTAGACTTAGCATTAGAAATATTTCTGTCATAGGCACCACTCGCTCTGAAGTGGAATGCACGGAAGAGAGTGGTACACCAGTAGATGATAAATACTGCAAACCTTTACCAAGACCAGATGACAGGCAGAAAACCTGTAATGAAGATCTTTGTCCTCCCACGTGAGTACATGAATAATTCAACTATGTTAATAAAAGTATGTGGACTGAATCATAGGGGAATCAAACCTTTTTGTTTGGCGGCGTGGTAATCAGAAAAAGATTATCAGAAAGCCGCAACACTCTCGTTGACAATTTCGTAAAGAGAATGGAGTCGATTCCAAAAATATGGCAAAAATTTGTCCAGCTTGAAAAACAAACGTTCCTTTTAAATGATCCGCGAGAGTGGAAACATCGCCCTTCTCTACAAGCTAAAATTCTTTACAAACTTAGAAAAAGAAAAAGTAACAAGAGTTCCTAGGGAAGGTTTGCACTCCCGCTAGTTCCAATTCTGCAAACGTTATATGTTGTTGGCAGAATGTGTAATGTAGACAGCGTCCTTCACTATCTCTCTCAATTGATTGGTCAATTTAGCGGGCCATATTTCACTGAACGAGCCGCTGAATTCAAAAGTTTGGTTGAGTTGAACTCACACAAAGAGATAATAAATATGGTAAACTTTTGTCACGAGCGGGAGATAACGAAAATAAATCAGTAAGGAAGAAATTTAGTGCATCAAAGGATAGAAGTCATCTGACTGGTTCAGAAGTTACATGCCGTCTATCAATACAATTTTAGATGGTGGAGAGGACCATGGCAAAAATGTTCCAAAAGTTGTGGGAAAGGGATCTCTATTCGCTCAGTGCTCTGTGTAAGAAGTTCTGGAAATGATGAACAAGTAGCATTGAAAGAAGAGGATTGTGCAAAGATCAGAGAGAAGCCGGATGTCGTAAGATCGTGTCTTAGGAAATCTTGCCCATCGGCTTGGACCGTGGGGGACTGGACCAAGGTAAGGAGCTCGACACTAAAGAGAATAATTTATGTGAGAATCATGTGTTTGAACTGCGGAGAGAAATTTTGATGGAAAGATCATGCCATCGTACGGTAAATTTAACAAGAAACATTGTCAAACACGAATCCTTTGCTCCTTATGACTTTAAGTCTTTCGTAATGATGTTAAGTGTCCTGTGGCCAGCTTAAATAAAGTCCTTGAATAAAACTGTTTTGCTTATTCAATGTCAGTGTTCAGTATCGTGCGGCCAGGGAATCAAGAAACGTAACGTGACCTGTGGCGTGGCAGACCCCACAGAAAAGTGCGACAGTAGAGCTGTACCCATTTCCTGGGCTTATTGCAATGAAGGAATATGTCCCGTGATAACCCTCCCTCCAACAACTATGGTAAGCCGTTTTAATATTATTAAAAAGCCCTTTTGAAGAACAATTTTCAGTTGAATGTCGACAGTTTTCTGGATTCCATCGGTCTTGCCACACCTCGCTCCGTGATTGGCCGAGAAAACTTTCTCCATTCTCTCAACCAATCAGATGCAAAAGGAAAATCAACTGCGACTTGATTATCCGCGTTTCCCCGCGCCTCACGCAGTTCTCTTTCTCTACTTCGAACTCTCACAGGCTTGACAGAATATTTCCCTTCGCTCCAGTTTGTTGAAATTATTTGGTTTTAGTTTCACAACACTCCGTCGAAAAGCGCTCTGTCGTAATTAACATGGAGACCTGCGCAATGATCAAACTCCTTATCAAAGAAAACTTGTTTTTGCACAGGCAAACATTTCTCTTGTAAATCTTCGAGGAGAGGATGTCAGGGACGTAAGGAAGAATTCAAGTTTGAAAAAGTACTGTAATGGCCAGAACTGCCAGAAATGGTCAGCAGGTCGCTGGAGTAAGGTAGGATTTGTTTACTGTTAAAAACACCCTTATATTATTGTTTAACAATCAGTAACTGTCCTTAATAGATGAATTTTCAATAGAATTTCAAGTTGCCATGTTTTTCCTATAACCTACAGTGTTCGGTGACTTGTGGTAAAGGGAATCAAGTCCGGCGAGTTCATTGCGCAAACTCAAATATACTCTGCAACAAAGAGCTGAAACCACCCCATGTTAGAAAATGTAACATGGAAGCTTGTGCGAAATGGCAGACTGGGCCGTGGACCAAGGTAAGTGAGGAGAGAATTTTTCTCATTGGCCAGATTGTTCAATAAAAATAAAAAAAGAAAAACTCCCTTTCCTAAATGAACAGAAAGCAATTTGAACACTTTTCTCTGACACCTATGGACACCTATGTAACCGTACGTTTTCTTTACCGAATTTTGGACACTTCCTCAGGTCTCACATTTTAAGTGCTTTACTCTCGATCATTTCCTACAAACGCCGCTGATTTTTTGATAGTGTATTCCTCTGTTTTTCAGAAGGAGAGTTTCGAACTTCCGATCTTGATGGACGAAGGATAATTGTTATTTAAAGAAATGAAAACTAAGATACTAAGAATTTAAAAGGCGAGGTTGTTTTCATCTCGCCGTAACCAAAAAACGATTCTGGTTTCAGTTGTCCTCGTGAAAGCAAGGAAGACGGCAATTTTATGAACATTCTTTACACAAGTTATTCTCTCACAAAATAATTGTAGCAACGTATATAACTTCTAATACAAAGAAGGTTTGTCGTATTGCGAACCTTTCAGTCGAAAGTTGCTCTGCACCTAGGCTAGACCACGAGCAGTCTCTTTATTTCGGCGAAGTCCGTCACGCAAGCCAACGGGAAAAAAAAATTAGGGTTGTGCGCTGCGCGGAACTCTGGGAGGAATTAATTTCTTGTGCTTCATTCTTAGCGTTCCATGTGGCGCGCTACCATCAATCTTTATTCGCTAATTTTTTTTTTTTGCTCCCGCGATGGACTTCGCGCAAAAAGAGGAACTGCTATTAGTCTATGCCTAGGCTCCTTACTTAAAAAAATTTAAGTTCCTGAGCAAAATTCCTTCAAATTATCTTCTTTTCAGTGCTCAACCTCGTGCGGAAGTGGAACACGAAAGCGCAGTGTAAGATGTACAGCTGAGGAAAAAGATGTAGTTTCGAGGCACTGTTCCGTGGCCGATAAACCAAAAGCCCAAGAGAAATGTTTCCTGAAGGACTGTCCCAATAAAACAACCGGTAAGCTCTTCATACAACTGCGAGTCTTTTTTTTGTTCTCGAGAACTGCTCATTTCAACACATCCTTGTTTTAATCATTCCATATACTAATCATCGCGTATACAAAGCCTAGTGAAAACCCTATGCGAAGACAGACTTCACATAGGAGAATGTCTCAGTTAGTTGATACATAAGTGTTAATGTGTTAATTACCTTCTTTCTGTTTTGCAGTGAAGTCTCGTACTCAAACAAACTCAAATTGTGCGGAAAGCGCCAGGGATACGTATTTCTGCAAGTTGGTTGTACTGCACAAATTTTGTCAGTTTAAACACTGGAAAGACAGATGTTGTAGGACGTGTCAAGACTCAAGATCCTAACAAAATGATGGCAGATTTTTACCGATTTAATGCGCAACCAGTAAAACTGGTCATAGTCAAGCTATACTTGAAACGTACGACGAATGGCCATCGGAAACGGTCGGAAATTAGATCGTGAACGATCGGCAATCCGTTTCAACGGCGAAGCATATTTAGGAAAATTGAATCTGGTGCAAGCCAGGCACAAAGGACAAATAGGTCAAAAGTACACAAGAAGTAAAATCTAGTAATTTAAATTATTAGCTGACAGTTTTAAAGCGTCTCTGATCGATTTCAAAGAAATTGATATTTTAGGAATACAAAATCCAAACTCTCCTTAGCGGTCTCTACATTGCCACAGTAAAGCGAAGGGGAATTTAATTGCAAATTAGCGTTTCGTTATTTGTCTAAAGATTTGACCTCCTTGGAATGCTTTTAAATAGTTCGATGCTCAACAACCGAAATAGCCTTTTAGGCCAGGTAAAATTTAATAGAGATGGTATGGTGACCATCCTTCCATTAATTGTGATAACAACTGAAAAAGTTCAATTCTGAGTTATTATTTTAAGAGCGAACAGACCCGGATTTTGAAAGACAGAAAGAATCTTTTCTTTTGTAAAGATATTTATACAGATGCCTTTGGCGACAGATAGTTCTATTTTATGAACAAATAAAGCAAGAAAAAAAGAAATGTGAAATACTTCAACGGCGTAATTCACTTGAAAAAACAAATCTGGTAAAATCCTAGAATTACTTAAAACTATGAAATATTCATGTTAAGGTGGAGTCTCGCCAATAGCACGACTGAATGAGAGCGTCAGACAGGAAAATATTTGGCTCTCTAATGCTGAAAAGGTCCGAGTGAGCTGAGCGTGCGAGGGCCGGGCCAAATATTTCCGTCAGGCCCGACCGCTAACTCACTTGATAAGTATTTTAAGGTCTTCGAACGGGAATTTTTATCCATGGGTCTAATATATAAAAGCACGTAGAAGTTATAGAAAAATAAAGAACACTACAGGGTTTCACAAGACGCGAGACTGACAGGGCCTTGGTGGTCAAGCTTAGCTTGTTAGGGGCTCTCGGTTGAGCTAACGTTTGTTTCGCCGACGTGCTAGTTCGCCGACTCTGAGTTCGCCGACTTCCACATTGCCGACTTCCACATTGCCGACTTCCTCTTCGCCAACAACCTGGGTCGATTCGCCGAAGTATCTTTACTGGTTCGCCGACTTGAGATAAAGCGTAAAGTTTCCCCATGGACTTTTTCTTTAATTCTGTACTTTTAATAACCTGAGTTTAAGAAACTTTTTTTGGTACTTCTGTTGTCTTTCCCGCAGCTTTACGGTGAACCAAGGCGATAACAAACGAACAATAGCACTCGACGATTAGCCTAACCGTTTCTTCGTTGGGAACGTGACCATTTCGTCAGCACCCTTCAAAAGAGATTGCACGAAGTTTGTTTGTAATTACACTGGCTTTAATTTGGCCTCGATAGCGAGCTAAAACTGCTGGCGAACTGTCCTGTTAGGCATTTAAAAGCGTCGGCAAACTGACTCTTAAATAGTGGGAATTTACTGTTAGTCAAATATTTGCTGCTTAGGATGTCCGGTTTCCTCTTATTTCTTTTTTCTTTTTTCATCAAAATGTGAAAACATAACCTAAAAGAAAGGATAAACAAGTTTGTTTGTTTGTTATTACATTGGTCATAGCACGTCGGCAAATCGACCCGAGATGTCAGCCGGTGAAGTAGACTTTGGCAAACTGGCTCGTCGGCGAAAAGACCGAATACCTTGGTCAAAAGCGAAATGGCGCACGTTTGACACCTGGCGGTTGTCAGGGGACAAGTAAGACACCCACGAATCATTCGCTCCTTTCTTCACCTTCCACCGCCTAAAAAGAGAGAGACGCAAGGTTAGGCTAGACTTTGCTGCTCTTCATGCCGATTTGCTCCCTCGCGAATCTGACTCGTACCCAGTCTACATAAAAGTCCCTCAGCTCCTTCCACGAGGACATTCTCGTCCCCAGAGCCTGTCGTTCTACTGAACTGCCATCTCGTGTTCCTCAGGGCAACTGTGTTACTCGTCGCTCACTTCTGAGAGTTAAAGGACTAAACTTATCGATCGCTTGAACCCAAAACAACGCGATGACCAAAGGAGAGTAAATTTAAGACAAAACTGGTGGTTTCCACACTTCTAAGCTACTTTTGTTTTAACGAATGGGAATAAATGAATATCATATATTTGAACTACGGATTAATAAATGAAGATAATAATGATCATTGCCGTTATGTAGTGAAAATCAAACCTGAATCAAGCCTGAAATCATAACTTGATTTTCACTCCTGTACAAGTAGTGTTCAAAAATGCGATGATCACTCTTACCTTTATCTCTTAAGCCTTTTGTTTTATTACGAATTGAGGCAAATTTGCTTGCAAAAAAAAAAAAAAAAGTCGCCCTTTTGAAGATTATACCGATAAGGACGACTTTTGCTATCTCAGCGATTCAATTGATGGTCATATCTTACATAACTTGTCAGTTTTGTGTCACCGTCTGATATGTAAATCGGCTCCAAGCGGTCAAAGAGTCTCATCTGCCATGTGATCAATGATGGTTTTCAACGAATCTTTTAATTTGCGGGCTGTAAATAGCTTGATAAATTTAAAACGCAGACTGGAATAATTTACGATAACTGGTTTTGACATCGGAAATCTGTTTATAAAGGTAAAACACCATTCATCGTAAATTCGTGACCAGCTATTACGGTTTGTTGATGTTTCAGCGTGCATGTCATTAGTCTTGTCTGAAAAAGTTTGAAATGTTTGCGATTAATTAAAAATAGCTCTTTTGATGATTGCATTAGAAAAGCTAGAATTGAGCCGTGTATAGTCTAGTGGTTTTATTCATCAGTCAAAAAAAACTCCTTATAACTTCCTAACATTAAAGTTTCATTTAGCTTTGTCAAATGGTCGCGAAAGTTGAGACCGGAAATAATCATGACCGGAAATGGACGAAATGTTTACGTGTTGCTAAGGCTTTGTAGCCAGGGAAACCGGTATCTTGGAGACGTTGTTAGAAAAAGCTTTTGTTTGCAACGAGGAGGAGGCAGAATCGCATCGGAATTTGCGGCGCTCAGATCTTGGGTCGTTTCGGCAACTTTTCAAAGAATAATTCCCAAACTTTTTAAGTCTACAATTAAGGAAATATGGCCACTGAAGAAAAGGGTGAAAAAGTTGTACAGATTGCTGCGAGGGAAAGAGGTGAGTCATGGCGGAGTTATAAGTTCCAAGCTCGATCAAAGTCAAGTAGCTTCAACTTAAAGAGCGTAGTGGATGGGTCATCGAAAACTGGTTCGAATATTAGAATTAATTTTATACCGAGAAAATGTGTATGATAGATTTTCCCAGTTGGATGGGATGATTTTCGTAAAACTTTTTGGGTCCAGCTTGGTGAAGCGTGGCGTGTTCGAAGCCACGCGTTCACCTTCAACTTTTTCAATCACCAAACATTGGTCATGGCGAGAGCCATATCAACATTTTGTATGTACTCATCAACCTCCTTTTAAAAGAGAAATTAAAGGAGTAAAGAAATATTAAAGTAAGTGAAATTTGTTCAAATCTTTGAGGCATCTTTAATTACATTTATTTAAAACCATCGATGCAACACCCAATCTTCTATTATAATTTCGAAATCTTGGATTGAAATATACTGAATACGATATCGTTTTCCTAATCAATGGCCAAGGAAGTGAATTAGGATATGTCTTTACTTTCCATTTCACAAAACAAACCTTTCGGGGGCTTTGTGTCTACACAGCTGCCTCGTGATGTATTTTCCGGACTATTAGAAGCTACTGGCAAGCATACTGTTAATTGGTTATACTGTCATTTAGCTTTCCTCAATAGCTCTATCTCTTCAATCAAAGGCTACTGTGTCATTTGAATGCTTTTCGATCTGAAACTGTGTGCTCGAAATGTGACAATTAAGCCAATGTGTTTTATAGCTTTCGACATTTGTCACGAATTGTTTACAGTACAGCTTTGAATCACTAAGGACATATTTCGTTTCATCTGCTCGCTTTTCAGGCCCAGGACCCGGTCGATATGGACTCCCTTCGATGTTGGGACATCAACAACATGATTGTAGAAGAGTCAGAAAGCCGGCTTATTCATTTGGTCATCGTTTGGAAAATTCAAGTAAGTATGCGCTGGAAATTTTGCGATCGACGGAGTCAGTGTTGTTCTCGCCGTGGGGTTTTCCCGCAGTGCGAAATGTCAACATCCACTAAAGCTCACGGTATGAATTTTACATGTATTTTCGTTTTTAGTGTTCAAGAAAGACTGCAGTCCTGGACCTGGGTATAAAGTTGATCCACGTATAACAAAGGATGGAGTTGATGGAACGCCAAGTTATTCCATTTTGGGGCGACAAAAAGATACCAGTGAGTAGCTAGCGCTAAAAAAATATTACAAATGGGGACTACACGTTGAAATGAGCCTATTGTTGTGTTTAGAAGTGAAGCCCCATAACATGCTTAAATTAATCAGGCGGTAAGAAGCCGAAAGCGATTTCAACAGAAGAATTAATATTTAAGTCCTGATAGCATTTTGAAGGAATACATGCAAACACCTGTTCCAAAGAGTACCTGCAGGTCTTTATAGTCATTATATCTAACGTATATGGGCTGAATGTCGCCTTTCGTAGCTGAGCCAATAGTCTTTATTCGACACGGTTATGTCATTTTTGCTTCTTTTCGTTCGTAATATGGATTTAAAGAATGAGACTCAAAGCCTTCAAGTCATCTCATGACAAAAGAGAGAGTTTCTCCGAAATGAAGAGAAAAGACTCGATATTTGACTTTCAAAAACTTTTAACTGTTAATTTTGATATATAATAAGCGATTTTAACATCTTATCCTTGAAATTCGTTATCACCCTTGAACATATCCGATAGATTTCGTTTCTGTTTCATCACGATTTTCTATCTATGTGAATATGCAAAATGCAATTTTAACCAGGTGTTTGAATCCTAATAGCACTTCCATGGTAAATGTATATTTTGCTAGTTAGGCATTGGAAATGTTCGCCTGTCCGAAAATATTCATTAATATGAGGATTTGAGTCATTTTGTTTCCTTTTAGTAATGAACCTTTTTGCATGTAACACCCAAAATTTCTCTATTGTGTGAAGTTATCAGCCACAATTAGTCACTAATTAAAGATAACTCACGGAATAAATTATAAACTTCAGGTTCTTACGGTTTACAGAACCTTAAAGGCACAATGTTATTGAATGATTAATATTCTGTGGGTGTAACTATCACTTTTAACATCCAGCAAGGCCTGGTACTCCAAGTATTATGAAAAAAATTGTTTCATCCCAATAGGAAAAGTTTGGTAACAAAAAAAATATATTTTTGAAGAGACAGAACTAGTTATTAGGTGGAATACCTGTAAACTAGCCCTCAAGCTAAGAGTATATCCATGTTGAAATAAAAGTATGTAAGACAGTACAAATTAAATAGCTCTTCTAAGAAGTTTGGTCAAAACATCATACATCTTTAAAAAAAAAACTGAACTGACTATATGCATGTAGCACTACATAGAAACACCCAATAGGTTTACAATGTATTTCTATGATTAAAAATTGAATAATTTCTCTGTTCACTTTTAAGTGTCATTCAAGACACCAGCACCAGGTTCCTACTCCCCAGAGAAGGTCCATCCTCAAGGAGAAAGATATGCCCCAGCATGGTCATGTGGTGCACGAACAAGATACAGAAAACGTAAGTGGGCACTGAGATATACAGTAACACCCTGCATGGCTTCCAAATGACAAACCTTGTCATCTTGTTCCCCAAAAAAAATTCCCACAATGTCATACTATTTTTTTTTCATCCTTTTAGGTGACTCCACTCCATCACCCAACTCTTACTCACTTCCAGCGCTACTTGGATCCAAGATCCCAAACAGATACTCATCAGCATCCTTCTCTATGACTGGAAGAGCCAAGACAGGTGGATTTGCTGAAGATCTTGCTAAGACCCCTGGGCCAGGAAATTATAGAACAGTTGATCCAGTAGTCTACAAAAAGAGGGACCCAGCTTATTCCATGAATCAGAGAAGTTACATGCCTGGAGGTAAGTATTTAAAGTGTAATCAATATCATCTTTTGCAGCTTTTTTAAATTACATCATTACAATTGATTTCAAATGTGAATTTCAATTTTACAATTAAGTCTTTTTTTTGAAGAGATTGAAGCACAGTTAGTCAACATGCAATTTGTGACATGAGCAGCTAGTTTTACATTGCTGCAGTTGCTTACAGCATCTTACTGATCATTTATCTACAAAAAAAAACAATAAAAACAGTTATAGACAACAATAGTCACTTACTCACTTCTTCTACAGATTCCACTCAAAAGCCTGGACCTGGAGCCCACAGCCCTGAGAAGGTGTACATAAACAAACCATCAGCCCCGAATTTTTCACTTGGAATCCGTCACAGTGAATTCATCACACCTCTTATCATTGATGTGACAGACTAAACATTTACCTCAAATTCCCAGTTCATTTTTTATTCCTTTTCATTTTGTTTTCATCCTTTTTTTACTGGCAATTTAGCCCCCAAACAAACCTGAAACATTTTTGTTTTAAACTCATGCTTGAAACTTTTTCTGGATCCTTTTTTAATCTTTTTGTTGAGCCGTAAGTTTTAAGAGTTGCAGTAAAGCCACAACTTTTGATTCATATACTGCTAAATTTGATACTAAATTAAAAAAAAAATAATTTAATTGGGATCAGGATTATTGTTTTGCAAATCTAATACCTCAATACTAATTGCTAATCATTTTCAGTGTGTCTCAACACTTGCCTCTTTGATTTGAAAATATACAACACATTAATTGAATGTTCCAAAAATCATATAAGTTATTACTTAAAGGAGTGCCTTTCCCTGACAATATGTTATCTGTAATTGATGCAAGAGGAGTAATCTTAAATGCATTAAAGATGTCATGCATTATTTACCTGCCATGTAAATTTGTTCATAAAAAAGTGAAATTATTGTCATGAGTTCTGTTTCTTTGTACTTGACTTTCATGGAAATCACCTGTATTGAATTTCCACAGCATTCTTATCAACTCAAATCCTTGCTAATTAGCAATTGATTGGGCTAATTTGATTTCAAAACTTAATAACTACTTTTCCTTGTTTCCAATCACCTGTACCCAACAACTTGAACATTTTACAATTTTCCGTCAAAGTTCAAGCTATCAAACCTTTAATGTATGCAATAAGCAAGCCTTTATCCAATCAGAGGACCTGCCAAAATGGTCCAAAAGAGATACATGAAACTGCCCAAAGCTCTGCAAAAATGTTTGTGACCCTTCCCTTTCTGGCTGCAAAAAAATTTAATGACCCTCTGCCCCATTTGCACCAGACCCCCATGCCCACTAGTAAATGACAGACCTCTAAGAGAAGAGAGAGAAGCTACAGGTAGTTACATATATTTTACAATGTGAATGCAACAATTCAATTACTAAACTTTACATCCATGACTACCTAACGTTAGCACACAAGCATGAAGTGGCCACATGAGAGTATTTAATCAATGACATTACTTCAGTTACAAGTTTGTTCAGTTTGTAGTATTTCTTACGCTTGAAAGAAAATGTTCACAATTCTAAAAGAAAAATGTGACAGGTTATTAGTGCTAATACGACATCTAAAAGAAAAAGACAAAAATGAGGTGCCTGCTATCTTCGATATCTATATCTCTTAAAATGAAACCAGAGTTGGAAAATATTGTTTTGAAATTGGCAGCGGAATCCATGACGATGAGAATACTCCCATTCGCGGTTGACAATCTTGAAGGCAATATCCTATGTTGGAAGAGAAAAAAATATTACATAAAGAGCAGATTAATAAAATTATCAAAAAAATTATTGGAATGACAAAATTGTACATAGAGAAGTCATAAATCACCTCATATGGGGGTCCTGCATGAAACCTGAGAATAGCAAAGTCTTTTGAATCTCCTGGACTTTGTTCCTGAAAGAGAAAGAAAATCCATATAAATTCATAATGCATATTTTAAAAATGAGAAAATAAGAATCATAGACTTCATTTAAATAAATTCTGTAAAAAAACATGAAATTCAGCAGCATCTAGTTTCCAGATTATAATATTTACTTTAGATATCAACTCTATTCAATTGAATACATTATGAATAGTTTATTCAAATTATATCATATGAAGATTGTCATCATGGTTTTAAAATAAAACAAGTTCCTGACCATCTTTTGAAAATACAAACTACAAAGGGAGAATTCAAGAAACTGTAAAGTGACCTACCAAAAAGTATTCTGGTGCTTCTTGTTTATTGATAAGATCAGGATAAAATATCTGTCCAGGAAGAAAAAATGACCGGTATTATTTAAAATCAATAACCATAAATTAAACTCAAAGGGCCAGTTATTTACACAAGGTCTAACCCAAACTGCAGTATTACGCAAGCAGTGGGCTCAAGGAATTCTCTCTAAGATGGTTGATTTGATTCAATAAATGTTCTTCCCCTATAAGCTTGTGACCCTCTTGTCACTGATCACAAAAACAGTAAGAACTCACATTAAACTTGTATCCTTGCACAATCTTGGGTGGTGGATTATCACTATCGTAATGAGTCTGATTGTATTTATTCCATTCATATCCCTGTTAAAAAGCAGAGAAGAAATCTTAGTCTAGAAATACTGAAATCAACTCTTGTGCTGGGTGTCCTCACAATGGCAGTTGAACATCATCATAGTTTTTGTGCAACAAACTGACTATGAGTCAATACATTGTATTAATTGTCACTCTCCCAAGATTGGATGCCAGTCCATTGCAGATAACAACCCTGCATTTCATCAGGCTTCGCTGACAGTTCAGTGGTACCTGTACTCATTTCTATTCCAGGGTGGATTAAGGCACTGTGAGTCAGAGTGAGGTGTCTTGCACAAAAACACATTGACCTGGCTGCAGCTCACAGTTGGAATACAATACCCAGAGTTCAATATTCTGACTATTGGGCAACCACATCACCAATGAAGAGATGTATTTGAAGAACTCATGCAAAAACAATGTATTACTGATAACTTTTATAAATACATGTCAGTAATGATTAGCATAAGTCAAAAAGAATCAATTACACTTGACACCTACTGTGTGAACTCTGTTAAAGAATCTTGGTTTTCTGGGTCTGTACTTGTCTGACCATAGGTATGTCTGTGGAAAAAAAATAATCATATTCACCATTGTGATCAGGAGAAATCTGAAACAGAGCTCTCTATTGCCAGTTAAATCACACTTGCATCATTTTTATCCCTTTATGTACACAGGCATCTCTAACCTTTTGCGTGACAGGAACAGGAACATTAAATGATTCTTCATCAGCCCCCATGCCTTTACTAGCTTCTGCTGCAACCATTCCTGCTGACGCTGCACTCTTGTCCTTTACCAAATAAAAGAAACATAAATTTTGGTGCCTTCAATTAGTAACTGTATATTGACTGAAATAGTTAATTTCTCACCTGGAAATCAATAGGAACCTAATTAATAATAAAGTTAAAATTAACTTAAAGAGCAAATTTCAGGAATTAAGCACTGACTGGAAGGATTTACTAGACACTCACCACATCTGCTGTTCCGCCACTTGAGACTTCTTGTCTTAATATTTCCTAAAATGCAATGTGACATGTTGCTGAACTTAAACATTTACCTCTGAAAAATATGTTTTGTACTGAAAATTTTAATCATATTTAATCTAATTCTTACAATATACAATCACGTAGTTTGTTAAAATAATGATTACACATAACAAAAAGTATTATAGATATCACAGTGATGGTGTAAGTGGTACTGTAATGGTAATGATCATTAAAATTATAACGATTATACCATCCAATGATGATGATGATGATGATGATGATGATGATGATGATAATGACAATGATCAAGCCCTTATTATACAGTACAAAACATCTACAGTGTATTTCCTAGAGTTACCATAATAAACACTGTATCTGATTGAAAAAGACACTGGCTTTTTCTTACTGAAAGAAAAACTAAACTACATGATTATAATTATATAACCTTACCATGATTTATATTAATAAATTCACCTGAAAATAATTACTCTAAATAATTGTAATGAAATTGGATTGCTCTCAGCATGTTTCAAATAACATCCAAATAGCATTTGTCTTGTTCTGTATACTGTACTGCAAAAAAAAAAAATCTCACGCAGGAAAAAATAACTTGAAAAGTTCTCAGATACTTACAAGTTGCTCCCAATCCTCTGTTGGATCAACAATCATACCCTACACAGTTGATGAGAAAAAGTTCAACTTTAACCAGTGAATTTAAATTATATGTAGGCCACTTAAATCCAGGCAGAGAATATTATTATGAAGCTACATGTATGTTTACAAGATAGTAAACTGAGTTTCAAATATCAGTCACCTCTTCAACGTCTTGAAACTTCAACAATCTGGGACTGTAATTGCCTGCATCATATGCTGTATAACCTAAAGGTGGAAAGAAACCCTCAGATTAGTTTTATACAGACAGGAATAATCAAAGTAAACAACAGCCTAAGAAATTTACTTCATAAAATATTTATCTGAAAATATTTTGAGTATTGTACCTTCCTCTGTAAGATCCAGTTCTGTGTAAACACTTGCATTTGTCTCTGCCCCTCCAGTTGCTGCCACTTTCTCTTGTTCTGCAGATTCTTTTTCTTCACTGCCATGGTCAGGGTTTTCATTTGGCTCTGTATTAGAGTCTGATTTGTTACCTCTTTCTTCATCATCAGAGCCTTGTTCTGACTCAGAGCTTTCATCTTTTGACTGGCTAGCCATCTCCAATTTCTGACAAGTGTAGAGAAATGAGATGTTTCATAAAATTAGTTCTCACAAAATAGATGTCCAGTCCTTAGAATAAGTAAATCTCCTTACACTCCTTGGCTTGGCAATTTCAATTAAGTTGATCAACCTAAAAGAAGATTTCCCCTGGACCCATTACTCCTAAAAAGTTTTACTTATTAAATCACATTTCATATGTGATCAGAGCATTAGACATTAAATTTTCTTGACTGGCTTCTACCATTACAATCAGTGACAACATGCCGTATTTGCAGTGGAAGTAATACTATTAATAAAATAATGCAGTTACACAGAACACTGCCTGAAGAAAGCAAGGCCACATTTGATCATTAGGAACCTATTCATTTGAAACTACCTGTTTTTTCAGTTCATCTAACTTTTTCCTTAGCATTGTTTGATGAAATTCCCTCAGCCTTGCTCTTGCTATATGTGCCTTTAACTGATGCAGTAAAGTTTCCCAATAACCTGCAAGTAAAAGAACCAAATGCAATTTTTCAGTTTCAATACTTTGACTGCTACCCTTTTTAAAGTTTCCCTTCGCTGCCATTTCCTGGGCTTGTGACATGGCATTTTCCCTCTCTGTAATAAACCCAAAGGATGTGTATAAAAGAAGACTAAGGTTTTTTTATACAGACGTGGATAAACAATTTCAAATCAGTGCCAATCAATCAAAGTCAATAACCCAATACTCAGTGTCAATCATCATGAGAATGCATTCATTTGGTTTTCTTTTACTTTGTCCTGTAATTGGCTCCTAGTGATATTTTTTGCTCCAATTGGCTACCTTGATTACTTTGGATTTGATTTATAATTATTAATTAAAAATTAGTTTCTCAATATTTCAGTTTTACAGAATCTAAAACATGTATAAAGTAATTATACCTATATCCACTGCATCTCCACTTGCTATCTTTTGGTTGATCTGCTTTTGCAAAGCTAAAAGCTGACTGTAAGTTTTTCCACCAAAAATGTTTGTTACATCTTTATTGACAGAGGCATTTATACTCTCTCGTCGATCCATATGTTCTGCAACAAGAATGACAGGATATATCATTAGCAAAATTATTTCTTCATCAAATCCTCACCACCAGAGAAGAAATTTGAAATGAATAGATGTGTCATATTTTCATCTTGATTCACACAGCATCCAGTAAATTGTAAAAGTGCTATGGCCAGACTTAAATAAAAAAGTTCTCTTAGATGCTGAATGTAGGAAACAAACCCTGCGAAAAAATTCTCGTGTTTTGACATTTTTGAATGAATTTAAAAAATGATTATGACTTCAACTTACCACTGTACCTTGGATCTTCTTTCTTTAATTTTTGAAGCTCATCTCTACAAACAACTGTCATGTCCTGCAAAAAATTATCACTAGGCTCACCAATTTGAAATTTTGTGTTCAAGTCAAAATAATCTCACAAAAAAGAAATGTCTGACTCTCAAGTAATGAAAGCTTTGAGCAAATTATAAAAAAAGAAAACAAGCACTTTGTTTAGTATTTTACCATCCAAAATTCTGCATTCTTCCCCTCCTCCAACTCCATGTACACCTTAATATCTACCATCAAGTCCTCCAGATCATCTATTGTGAGTCCCTGCAAAGGCACAAAAAAAGTCATGATACCAAATTTTCAAATGGTCTCAATGTGATTCCTGTAAAACATTATAAATTTAAATTACTTCCTGAATTCAGAGTTTTGAAGGAAAAGTTAGGAAAGTTGAAATGGGAAATTCAATTTGAATCAACTGATTGTCATAAGCCACAACAACAACAACAAAAAAGTTATTTATAAAATAATATTTGATCAAGGTTTCAAGGGGGCTTGTACTGTAGGTTTTGTAGAACTTGGCAAATTCAAGGCCATAGTTTCTGTTCAAAGAAGGCTTGACATCAACTACCTCCTGTCAAATGATCATGATAATATTATAATTTGTATAATTTGTATGTACACATTGTGTTTGAGTATTGCTTAGCTTGACTTGTAAATTATAACTACAAATCACTAAAAAAAAAAATTCTTATCACAATAAGAAAGGCAAATATTAGGCACAGAGCAGATGATGAATGCTGCATGAGAATACTTAGATACCATTTAATTTCAAATTAACAGACTATCAAAATCCATTTTACTACATAGCAAAACAAATCAAAAACATCAACACTGCTCACCACTAGAATTGTGTAAGGTTCATGCATTTGAATTTCCAAGTCATTATCTTCAGTACTGACATATTCTGCTAGTAGATCAATGGGTTTGGCTGAAAACAAGACAAGAGAGGCTTAATGCAATCAAAGAACAGAGTGTTCTTCTGTTTCAAGGGAGTCAGGCATAAAAGGGTAATTAGAGTAAAAACTTAAAGGGAACACTGACATTTCAAACAGAGCACGTTACCAGTCAGGCAAACCTTTGTACTACTTGCCACTTAATTGAGAGGGTTTTGATATGATTGGTACAAGGGCAAACAGAGAGATGGAGTAGCTCTGTTACTTTTTATCATAAATAGCGTGCCACTGATGGAATCTCTAATGAGAGCAATTATTTCAAAGGAGCATACAAAAGCCACTGAGCTGCTGCAACTACGTACTGCCATTAACCATTTTAACTATAACTTACAGTATACACTAACCAGTTCAGTATAAACTAACCAGTTCTCCCTTTCTATATTCATCTTTTAATGTTTGGTTAGGTATAAAGATTACATTGTATAACTCGGCGCATGTGCATGTAACCAAAATTCATTTTTTTTTAACAGTACAGCCCACAGCTTTACAAAAGTATTTATTGCCTCATAAATTAAGTCACTATAATTATCGCTATTTACATTTAATATACAATTGCACAGTACCTCTTCCATCCTGAATGCGAATTTTTGAGCGCAGCTTTGCCTGTTCCAAGTGAAACTATTTTCAAATACAAGAAAGAAAATAAACAAAAGTCACTTTTTTGTCATGATTGTAATCATATTAGTTGAAGAGGTCCATTTTAAGCATCAGAAGAAACAAACATTTGACAAATAAAAGTAATGTTGTTCTTAAGAAAAAAATATTAATAATTATTATTTTGAAGCTATAATATATAACTTCAAACCCACAGGAGCCACAAAAAGTTATAACTGAATTGTTCCTAATAACACTTTAAAATTGTATTACACTATGCTATTGCATTTTATTAAATTTACATGTTATATACCTTATCCTCCTGCTCTTCCCACTCCTTAAAAGACATTGCTTCTTTATCCCTTTGAAGTGTTTCCTACGATGTGTTTGAATCAAAATGTAATGTTTTGAGAGTATGAAAATGGATATGAACCACATTATGTATAAGCACCTTTTTGTTATTATTTTGTTAAAAAAATTAATCCAAAGAATTGCCAGGAAATCATGGTTCTTGCCATTTTAGCTAATAATTATCTTACCCTTTCCTCCTCTCGCATCTGCTTTTCATGTTCCCTTTCCTTGAGAAGACAAAAAAAAAACTGTTGAAGCTTCCTGGCACTTTATTTAGGCTGTTGTTAAAATGTCTAGAATCTCTGGTTATCATATATTCTTAACTTTGTACATTGTAAAATCAGTCCCACACACTTACAATCAGTTTGTTAACAGTATTTAAATACAATTTGATGTAATAATGACACTTACAATCCTCCGCTTTTTCACTTTTTCCAATTCTCTCTACAAAACAATTGAAAATAGAAGTCATTTGATAGATAGCATCACAATGAAAAAAAAAACTTTTAAAGTAAAGTTGCCAAAAATCTGTTTTCATGACTTATTCAAAATACATTTAATATCAGGTTTAAGGTTGATAATTTTTCCAACTGCTATTACATTCAATTACAACAATTTGAAGGATAAAACTAACAATTCTTGTCAAACCAAATACTACAATCACCCTCCAGAGTTACTATAAAATAGTTTTAACAGACTGCATCGATTCCATTTGTTTTCAACATACAAAAACTGACCAAGTACTACAACAGATGGAGTGGGATACTCCCTAACCTATACATGCTGTATACTGTAAAATGTAAATGCACACAAATTATATCCCTGGACAGCATGTACAAGCAATTTTAAAAGCACTTTGTTTCTGACCTGCTACCTTAACTTGAGTTTTAGATGGTTCTATCATTCAAATTGTTAAAGGAATGATAAGTTGTCTCTTTCTGTTGATATCTCACATAAAGAATGAGGTTTTTTTCTATTTACTTCATTCACTGAGAGAAAAGAGGGGGCTGAGCACTACACCAACACTGCATTAAAAAATACAACTTGGAATCCAGGTGCAGAAAATATCTGCTTTTACCTTCTAAAATGAAGTCATTTGCTTCTTAAAATGCTCTACTTTGTTCCTTAACCCTTTAACTCCCAAGATCTGACTGTTTATTCTCTCCATTATCTGCTATACACTTCCTTGCAAATTAGTTACAAGAATTTGGTATTAGATCAAGATAACAACTTCTACCTGGTAAGTTTGAGCATTCTTGTTACCCTTTTGCTGGACAAAGTAAGGATATAATAGAGAGATGTTACTTGTTAATCACTTCTGGGAGTTAAAGGGTTAACAAGATAAATTTAATTGTACTTTCTAGAATTGAACCATTCAGTCTTTTGGTTGAGTATGGCATCTTTACCTTAGCTTCATGTTGTCTCAGCTTTTCTCTTCTTCTTTGCTCTTCTTCTTTTAAATGCTGTTCTCCATCTTTTTCTCTCTTCTGCAGATCACAGTAAGTTGCATGTAATAAAAACAGTGGCTTAATTGTTAGTGTACTGGACTCCATATTAAAAGGTTCGAGGTAATAACTTGGTTCCAATATACAGTACATATGATTATGCTGTGTTCTAACCCAAAACACACTCCCCAAAGCAGTGTTCTCCAGCCAAACCTTTTGAACAGAGAAAATTTTCTGACAAATTGCCTTATGCTTATACCAGAACCCAAAATAAAAAAATTCCTATATCACCCCTCTATACCTAGGAGGCAGACAATGGTCACCAACAGTTAATTATGGATCAATATTGGTATCTGGGCAACTGCCCATCTACCCCTTCCCTAACCCAACATTTACCCCTTCCCTAACCCAACTTTAACCCTAACATATTATCAATCGATTTTTTTTTAGGTTTAGGGAGGGGTAGGTGAGCAGTTGCCCAGATACTGATATTGATCCTAAATTATTATACACCAATTTAAAAGCTACATCTGAATTCTAGTTGTAAGGTGCATGCTTTGCATGTGTGTGGTATTTACTAACAATAAATATTCAATTTGGTAATATGAGATGGAATTAGTCTATCCAAAAAAAAAATGAATGAAGTATAAATAAACAGATTCAAGTGTAGAGTGAAGAAAATTGGTAAAATACATGTACCTTTTGCCATACAAAAGTTTCAAGCAAATGAGCATCTCCAAATGGATTATCAGTGTTTGTATATCCCTGAAAACAAATACAGAAAAATGATACATATACTGTTAATAATACAACAAAGGAAAGAACAATCACATGACACATGAAATTTTAAGTGTATAAACACCTCTGTTTGTGTTGTTTCGTTCTTGTGTTTAATTTTGTTTGCAAATTTTTTGTTCCTTCTGTACATTTATCAACAACCCAACCCTTTTAAAAATGTGACATTAGTCACTGTATCATTATCATTTTCAGAAAATTTCATCCTGGACATGTTGAGCCTGCAGTCTCTTAACCCTTTAACTCCCAGATCAAATTTGTAATCCTCCTTACTGTCAACCATACAATTCTTATAATGTTAGTTTAGAGAATTTAGTATTGGAGTAATTAATTATCCCCAAATTGATATTTTTCTTCATTCTCATCACTTATCTAGTTGATATTATATTGACATTGTAAGGAGAAATTATCTCTTGGTCACTCACAAGAGTTAAAGGGATAAGGGAAAAATTACCAGATATTCTTCATCCCATCCCATTTCTTTCTTTTTCTTTTTCTCTTTTGCTTCCTGTTGGGATGAAATAGTAATCAAAGTATATATAATTGTAAATCATCTCTCCTACATGAAAACATAATCAGATGGCATCAGGAGAAGGTGTATGTTCTATACCCCTTTCTCAAGTTGCTTTCAGAGAAATACAGTTGTGTGAAGATGGTGTTTCACCTTTTTGGCAAGTCTCCTTGCTCGTTTCTCTTCAGGTGTTTCTAGTGCTTTCAAAAGTTCTTTTTCTTTCCTTCAAAATACAAGCACATATTCCAAATCAATAAATTATCACACAAAGCACACTTTGATCCCTTAACCCCAAAGAGTGACTGGCATCTAATTTCTCCTAACCACATCACCCCTGTATGAAACATTAAGGTTGTGAGAATAAAGAAAATAATCACTGACTAAAGAAGGCCTTGATAGTTAAACAAATTCTACTTGTCAGTACTATAGCAAATTTAAAGAAAATGATACAGAGACTCTGTATTTTGATGTTGGAACATAAAGGGGTTACATCGAATGACACAACAAAAGGCAGGAATATAATGAAAATTCTACAGAGCAGTATGTCAGTATGGTTCACCTTGTGGGAAAACTTTGAAGAAATAGAGATGACACAAAAGGCTCTGTTGAGATCTAATGGATGCATAGAAGTGGCCTTATACAATATATTTATGGAACGTTCTTCTCGACAACAACAAAATGTTTCCATTGTGTAATCAGACAAAAATGTTCCTCGCTAGTGGGATATAAACATGAAATATAATTTTCAAACCTTTAACCTACCTTTTACTTCGTTTCTCCTCTTCTCTGTCGACAGTCTTCTTTTTCGCTACAACATTTTCCCGAGTACGATCTGCTGGCGAAGATGAACGATCTTTGTGCCTGCGTCGTGGAGATCGCGAATGAGTACGGCTTCTGCGTTTTCGACCAGGAGAACGAGATCTGCTCCTACTTCGACGCCTACGATTTTTCCTATCGCTACCAGGCATACTCGCTATGCTTCAAAATAAGAGAAAACGACCACCCTTTTACTCAAACTTCTTTCAGGAAGTCCGCCATTATGTTTTTCAAATGTCAGAGTGAAGCTCAGCAGTGGTAGCCAACGCGAACGTAGTACTTCATATAACATGGTTAATTCTTTTTTTTAAGATGGCGGCCTTCAGACATTTCAGGTCCAAAAATATCTTCTTGTCAGGTCTGGTATTTGTAACTGAAAATAATTATTTTGTAATATATTGATATCTTTTGAATTATCTAGTCAGCGGGTTCGATTTTAGAAGAAAATCTCTCATCGCGTTGTTTTTACCCCAGGTTTATGCAAGTCATTGTATGGATCGATAACGCATCGCGGCAAAATTGCCAGCCCCTTTTTTCTTCAAACTCAGATCACATGCTGATATGATGCAAAATGTTGAAAATGGCACCTACCATGTTTTTCTTTGTGTAAAGTGCACTGCATTTAATCAGGATTGCTACTTAAGTACAGTGTGGAGTCGCTGATTTAACTCTTTTACTTGTAAGAGTGCCTAGCATCTAATTTCTCCTTACAATATCAACCCAGAATCAACCGTTAAGGTGCCAAGAATAAAGGAAATGATCACTAATAAAGAAACTCTTGATTGTAAGACAGGTTCTCCTTGTCGGCACCATAGGAAATATGTAGAAACAGTCTGGAGAATATACATGCTGATTTTAGGGTGTAAATGATTAAGTGTTATGCAAGTTCTTTTTGTGATGAGATCTTTCTGAGAAAGAATAATAGCTGTCCAGCCTGTAAGAAGAATCATTGAATCAACTAGAGGGCATTTTTGTCTTTTCTAGATCCTTCAAGACAGGTGATCAAGAAAGGAAAGTATGGTCAGATTTTCTTAGGAAACAAAGCTGTTAAGGTATTAAATCATTTATCTTGAAAAAGTCTGTCAATGAAGTTAAGGTCTAAAATAGAGATAAGGTATATTAGTAAAGACTACTCATGTGAAAAGGGCTTTTCATGTGCTAGCTAACAGGCTGGCCCAAGGGAGATTAACCAGTAACATTAATCTATTAGCAGCTGAGGAGACAAATTCACACTTCAAGAAATTCATTTCTAACCAACTTCAGGTTTTTGAGACAGAAATAAAGTGTTTTTTGGTTCCTGTAAGTTGCACACTTATTGAAAACAAGTAATCACCACAGAGCTGGAGAAAGAGGTGCATATGTACCTTGTCTGTTGGGAATTGATATAAATTAGTGACAGTGGATTGTGTTAAAGATGTGCTCTGATTGGCTACTCAAACTCAGAATATCCTTTGCTATTCGATGTATCCAGTGTGAGATTATAGTAATAATACTAGTTATAGTTCTCACTAGAGCTGCCCCCGCCCTACAGTACCATTTTCTTTTTTTTTTTTTTGAGTTGGGCTTGTTGTTTACAGTTGTGTAGTTATGACCATTTGCGGGAAAAACGTTGATACCTTGCGGCCTTGCAAGCGATCAAATCGAGATTTTTTTTGGTTACGATCAACCGAAAACACCTACATTCTCTCTTCTCCAGTCTTCCTCTATACTAGGACAAATCTCGTGTCAAAGACGTCGATCCTAAAAGTCCTCGCGCGCGTGTCTTTTTACTGGCAGCCCATGACCATTTGCGGGAAAAACGTTGATACCTTGCGGCCGTGCAAGCGATCAAATCAAGATTTTTTCTGGTTATGATCTACCGAAAATACCCACATTCCCTCTTCTCCAGTCTTCCTCTATATTACGCGGGGAGTCCTAAGGTGCCTCCTTGGGTTTTTGGCCCTCTGGGGCCAAAAACCCTGCGGGGGCAATAATTACAATTGTTACTAGAAAATTAGTTAAAATCATCTTTTTTGTGCCCCTCTGATAATTGTATCATATCACCTTGGTAATATCCACCTCTAGCCGGCTATACCTCGGTGAATAGAAGTTAATTACATTTTGGCAGTTGTTCTCGAACATCATGCCAATGTCATGCTTATCAAACCTGAGTCATGTCTTTCCATTCATTTCTCTTTCTTTCCTTGACGGAAACAAGGTAGCAATATAAATTTTACTCAAACCAAGCTTCCTTGCTGTGTAGAACTTTCAACAAAAACTTTCACAATAAATGAAGTTGACTTTTCTTGTCAGTAAAGGCCTTTTCTGTTTTATATAATATACAAAATTATACATGGTTGCTTGTAAGTGTGGAATTTTTTGTGTGTAACTCAGAGAAAAATTTGATATCTAAGCAGGGAGTGCTGAGCAGGTACTTGAGTGAATCTGCCACCAATGAAAAACCAACTGACCATGAGGATGCAGCAGAACTTCCAGAGAGTGAGTCCAGTGGTAAAGGATCAGTTGTTGATCTTGGAGACCTTCATCCTGTAAGTGCAAAGTTGTATGTAATAACCCTACAGATAACTTAAAATCACACCAGATGAAAACAAATGAAAACACTTCTATGCAATTAATTTTGGTAGACAGGGTAGCCTATTGTTCACCACATAAGACTCTTATTTTAGAGATGTGGCATTCATGGGCAAGACAATTTTCCTGGCACAGGAAGCAACTCTTCCACCCCATGAATATTAAAATAGGAACAGATGAACTGTTAGGTAATCCTGATGTAATTCTTTGGGATGACCTGCAATGGATTAGCATTCCATCTAGAGGGAGTAGCAGCACTCCTAGTTGCTTAACCCCATGCACTCTAACATCAGTTTGCATATTCTCATTACTTTCCTCCATAAACCTACTTGATATTAACAAGGAGAATTGGTTTGACAATCAAGAGCTTCATTAGTTGGCAATCATTTCCTTTATTCTCATGACATCAAAGTTTGTTTCATTGGTGATAAGATTTGGAGAAATTAGATGTTAGTCACCCATTGGCGTTAAATGGTTAATGATCTATTAACTAGACTAATTTCCCAACAGATGAGCCACCAGTGTAAGCTGACTTAAACTTACCCTTTTCTATCTTTTATTGAGAGTTTTAATCATTTTACTAAAATATTTCACTTATTATTCCAAGATTGAAACTTTCTTAAATTTATCTTTTTTTATCTTTTTTTTTTAATTTATCCTTTTCTTGATTATTCTTCAGGCTGATCACATGAAGTCCAATATTGGTCAATTTTACACCGTCCCACAGGACATTTCAAGTAGAGTTCTCTCCTACTTCTTCACAAAGAGATTTCAAACAGAGGTACATATAACTCTGAGCTTTTTATATGTTTTTCCTGTTTTTTGCTTGCTCTTCTAGATTAGATGAAACCTTTGGTTATTTTTTTGTTTCAAGTTTGAAATGGCAGGCAGCACAAGTTTGATGATAAGAAGCCCTGCTCTGGAGGTGATACAGCATCTGAAAGACTTACCAGAAAAGAGCCATCCTCCACCAAAGTTTATTTTCTGTATCTTTTCACAACTCTTGTTGTAAACTGTAGTCCCTGTGATATGTGGTCTCTATGAATCAAACTGTTAATCCTTTAACTCCAAGAGGTGATTAACATGCAAATTCTACCCATAATTTCCATATATTATCCAGCAAACTGGGGATCAAATTCTTGTAGCTAGTTTACAAGAAAATATGTAGCAGCTAGAGGGGAGAATTAAGAATCAGATCTTAGATAAGATTTTTGTTGTTGGCTTGTTATCAGTTCCTTTCTTTAACTATATTAAAATAGATGGTGATGATGGACGTGGAAAATCTTTATCACTTATTCATGTTCTCCATTATTGTTTTTCTGCTGGATGGTTCATTCTTCCTGTACCAAGTGGTAAGATTTGTGTTCTGGTATGTAATTAATATGTCACAAAAGGTGGTATGGATAAATGTGTTTATATTCATCAAATAAGGGCTCTAAACTTTGAACAATAGGAAAAATGGCCTTTCATTTGATTGGCAAAGGAATGGCCTCAAAACAAAAATATTAGTTTTATTTGATAAAGTCAATTAGATGTTATTTTAATTATACTGAAATAAATATTGTAATTTATTAAAATCACTGAAATTTTTTAATGTCAACCTAAATGAACTGATCATTTAGTTACCTAATAGGGTTTTTTCCAATTTAGCAGAAGTTTCACAGAAGTGGAACTTACTGATAATAAAACACTTAGTTAAACCCAAACTTACTGACACAACAACCACAAATAAAAACATCATCTCTTTGTTATTGAATTTATTACCAGGACATGGAAAGAATGGAGGGAACTTCCACTAAATTGAAAAATACTAATTTTTACCTTCCACAATCCTTTTTGTCTTTCTTTGAGCTCCTTTTCATTTGTTTTAATGATATATTTTTCTTTTCAAGCATAAATGTCATAGGAATAATTGAGGGTTGAACAGATTGTAATAAGTTTAATCAATCATTCATGCACCATCAAAATCCAGGTAAACCAAAAAATTAAAAGCAATCCTCTAAAATTAGTTAGTTGCCATTAAGTTGTCTCTAGCATAAAATAATGTATTTTTTCATCAAGTAGAAGGTTCAAGTCTAATTGCAAGCATAATTCTTATTGCAGTATTTAGCTGGGTGCATGGACCATCTGAATTGCAAGTGTCAACATATCACGCAGATAGATTTGACCAACCAAAGCCAGCAAATTCCTGGCTTCAGATGTGCAAAGCAATCAATGGCAGGGCCCTTGCTGAGGTAAATTGGCAGAGAAGGAGACAAGCACTTTTTCACTACCTTGGCCAATGTTCTGATTCCAACCCTTTGTGGCAAGAATGCAAAGCGATTTACTTGTACCACTTTGGGTGATATACTGTAGCTGTTCTTGAGGAGAAAAATCCTTCATGCTTTTGGCAACAATTGATGTTCAAATGACTTAGAGTATCTAAAAATCATATATGTGAACTGCGGGTTAAGAAATGAATATGAAAGCAAGGCCTGAAAGAAAAAAATTTTCTTATTTTCTCTACTGTTTAAGTGGTGTTCATTACTTTGAAGATCGTTTTCATATTCAATTGATGTTTGTTTTTTGAAAACTGGGCCTTTTACTCTAGTAAGGCAGTATCTAGTCAGTGGATGAAAAGTGAGGTCTTTGAAAGTGCATATACACTGAAGTTAGACTTCATAATCATTTCACTGTCAAGATCTAGGTACGAATTCTCAGCAATGTCTGTTATGTTTCTATAATAATTTTAACTTTGAGAACTAAATGTTTGGTCAAATTATTCCCCTAGTTAGTATTTTTCTTTCTTCTCATCCCCTCTCTGCTCGAAAATGTATCATTATTGGTTGGAGAAATTCCTTTTTGGTCAATTCTGGGAGTGAGAGGGTTATATCTTTTCAACATGTCTAAGTTTTATGGCTTCATTTCTTTTTCAGGTCCAGTTAAACAATCAATATCTTGTTGGCAAGAAAGATGTAATAGAAAAAGGAGAGCCACTAGGAAAAATTGTAGATACCGTAAGAAGATATTTTTTTGTATTATCAAAACTATAACAAAATTCTCAAACGTGATTAGTTATCACCAGCCCGATTTGAGCATTAATAGGACGGTGTACGCGTCTTGCCTCTAATTGGACAGTGTAATAGGACAGTCAAAGGGACAGTTAACACGTCATGCTTGTATAAATGGACAGAACGCGTTGTTTTCTCGCATTTCGCCGCGTTAACTGTCTTTTTTTTAATGAAAACGTACAACCGATGTTTAAATTCCTTCTCAGATTCTGCCTAGTTTTGATTAATTGGTAACAGGACTTCGTTTCGTCCAATTCTGTCGAATCCCGTCGAAGCCTGGATTCTCTTTATGTTTCTTTCCTCCATTGCTTAAACTGCATGTCATTTGCTAGGATCATAGCTTTATTTGATTTTCTATCCGTAAGCCAAATTGAAGTTGTTTCATTAAACAGAAAAGATTAGTCCCTTCTGTTAAGCACAGAAAATTACCTTTGCGTCTTGTGGGACTCTAGGTATAAAAATTGGGTTAAAAAAATCACTGGGGGAAGATCCGCCAGTTTTAGCTGGGGCACTGTATGTTATGTCACGCCTTTAGACCAATTGTGCGCAAATAAAGATATTCGATGGATTATGAAGCAAAATCTTTTTACATCTTAGGGTCTTAGGAGAGCAAATTTTACCTCTGATGCTGTAGGCATATTACTGAAAGAAATAAGGAGTAACCCCAGGTTGGTGTGTTGACTAATTTTTACGCCTCGTCTACTGTAAGCTAGTGTACATGTACCTCGGAGATAACACGCCAGAGTCGATGAATAGGTCACGAAGTTTGTTCTCTCATGTGTCATATGATACCAATATAACGCAGGAAAGAAAAAGCTTGTAGAATCGACATTTTCTTCTTCCCCTTTCAGTTTGCGAGTGCTATTTGCTGTGAACGAGTTCAATGGATTTTTCTTAAAAACCACCCTCAAGGATGTCAAACAAAAATGGGTAAGGCAGTTTAACCCTTTACACCCTAACATCAATATCTATATTCTCCATACTGTTCTCTGTACATTTACTAATGCGCTGACAAGAAGAATTTGTCTAACAATCAAGAGTTCCTTTAGTGGGTGATCATTTCCTTTATTCTCATGACATTAATATGTGATTCAGTGGTGATATTGTAAGGAGAAATTAGATGCTAGTCACTCTAAGGGGTTGAAGGGTTAACAGATAAGTACAGATGTGGTATGAACTCTGTCTAATCCTTGGATACTTCGTCGAGTAACAGCTAGAAACATGGAGATCTCAGAACATCAAGCCCAACCCTTCACTGACTAAACAGAAGCACTGTGCAATAATCTCTTGCCCTCTGTGCTTTGATGATGATTCCTTGTGGTCGTTTTTTTCTGCCTTTTACTGAGTATTAGGTGGTTTGGGTAAATTTCGACAAATTTTCACAATACTGGTGAACTTACACCGAAATTGATCCTTGCCCACTATGAAAGAAAGAAAATTTCTCCTCTTTGGGCGGAGACAAAAGTAACTGCTGAAAATTTGCCCACGTTAAGTTTGATTTGCTCAACTCCTCGATGTTCATCGATGTCATCTGTTTGACTGCATTTATATGGTCCCACAGTACTTTTTAAGGTCTCCCTTAACGGGAAGGAGTTCATGGAATATTATCTTTAAATTTATTTTCCCTTTTTTTGTGCTAGATAAAACCCAAGAGGCTGAGTTTGGTACATCACTTTACAGAACTCCTTCATCCTACTGAAGGACTGGTAAGCAATAAGAAATGGAATCTGCATTTTTTGTCCGTGATTTTGCCATTTGCTCACGCGCAGAACGCTGGTTTCATCAAATCCAAATTTGTGCAGCCATGCGACCACGCATTTGGTGTACAAACTTAAGACGGTTACCCATCGACTAACGAACAGTTTCGCCAAATGCGCATGGGACAACTCCCTTGGGCAGACGATCGTCGATAGCTTTTTTAGTAGTAAAATTTAACAATCTGACGAACGGTGTAACGCTTGTGGTAGCATGTAAGTAAGAACACACTCAAAAAGTATTAATGAACAGAACATAAATATTTTTGTTCATTTTTTTTTTTCCTTCAGAAAAATGGAGCTATGGTGTTCGCGTTATCACGCACAGGAATGTTGAGAAGTGACATCAAGTCTTATGAGATACCAGACCTCATTGGACAGGTGAGAAGGAGACACACCTTTGACCCTTTAACTCCCAAGATCTCATCAGTAATTCTCCTTACTGTCTGCGATATAGTTCTTTTAATGTTAGTTCAGAGAATTTAGTATTGGATCAACTATTAACCCCAGACTGATATTTTTCTTTATTCTCGTCACTTATCTAGTTGATATTGTATTGATATTGTAAGGAGAAATTCCGTCTTGGTCACTCATGGGAGTTAGAGGGTTTGTGATCAACCCATTGCACCATTATTAACCGTTGTATTTCCACGGGCCCGCTGTGTTTTCGTAGGTCATTTCCGAACTACCTTTGGCTTCTGTTTCAAAGTCGAGTGTTTTCATTCACATGCAAATTTAACTCACTTTCATACGAATGGTTGAGAACCAGGCCTAGTTTTGAAAAAAAGGGGCCAGAGGTAATTCGGAAATGGCCTAAGGAAAAACAGCGGGCCTAAGGAAACACAGCGGTCAAACGTTGGGCATGCGTCTCGCTGCTTTTCAATTGATGGGACCAAACGTGTACCTGAGCATTAGATAATCGTTGCAAAATTATAACGGATGTTGTTCTTATCAACATAAAGGAAAAAAAATTGATCCTTGCGCATAGGGAATATCGCACTTTGCAATCAGGGTGCCTAATAGATACCTTTGAGCTTTTTTTTAGATGTGGTGCTTATTCGGGGGCGGCGAATAATAATATTTTTGCTCGCACATGCGGCACGTTATCGAGAGCGGCGCATCGAGTAATTACGCCCTATACTTTTGACATTATTTTGAGATAACATATACCACAGCCTTGAAAATTCTCGACTTATCCGATGATTATTAATAATAATTCAGATATTCTAAATATTTATCGAAGACATCATGTGTTCTTCTATCCAACATAGAGAGGTTTAACAGCAGTCCAGGATTCCATTAACATCGAGGTTCCCCATTACTCTAGAGAAGAACTTGAGTCTTGTCTTCAGTTTTACAAGGAGAGAGGAATTCTAACAAAAGGTAAAATTGCTTAGTAGAAGAAAAAGTGGAACATTTTTTATTCTCCACTCGAAATTAAAAGGCTCGGAGAAGAAACGCACACTGTACTTTTTTTTTTTTTTCCAATGAACTCAACTCACATTTTAATGCATATGTTTTACAACTTGCAAGGTCCCAGGTAACGAATTTTTATGCTAAATAATCTCTGTTTGGCTTTTTATTTCTTTTCGCTTTTTGGCTTTTTGCATATTGTTACGTGTGTCTTCTTCATTCAATGAACGCCCCTAAAAAAATTTAGCAATATTGTTGAAGAAAGACTTTGTATTTCTTGAGTATCTCGACTAATTATCGATACTGTCTCTTAGACAGCTGTGCATTAGAAATTTCTTTTTTTTTCCTTTTATTTCAGAATTAAACTCTCAGCTTGTAAAGGAGATCGCCTTTCTCACTGCTTACGAGCCACCGATTGTAAGTCACTTGTGTAGGAGATTCTGAACATTTAAATGAACATTTGTCCGTAAGTAACTAAAGCAAATTGTAAATAATAAAACAAAGCTTGAAACTTCAATACTGTTTGGTATATTTTGACGTGATATTTATATAATGTATTATATACCTTCCTTTAAAAAAAAATTATAATAAGCATCACTTTTGGTGCTTGAAAAGCTCATTTACCAGCAAGACTGAAATCTTCAGAAACCTTTGAAGATACCTCTGAAATATTCTCATAACTTCGGGGTAGTTTACGGCTTGCTTTCGTAAATCTTCGGAAATTGTTGCCGTAGTTTTCGCATCGTTGATGAAAGAACACAAAGTGACGAGAAAAGCTGCGACGTGACTCTTTATCGTAAAAAAGGGAACCAAAAGTGTTCCGTTGCCTAAATTCACGGGAAGTTATTTGAATTAAATATCATGTTGCTGAATTATAGATGATTTTCGACTAATTCGAAGCAAAGCGGTTTTTTTTTTGAGAAACTACCGCGCTGTCGCAACCGGGTGAACGAATATCCAAAAAGATGACTGAGCAGTTGAGGGTTTTCTCTTGATGAGCTAATCGTATTGCGAAAGGACATAAGCTGTCACGTCAACTATATGTGTCCATCATATTCCCTCTTCTCCTTTTATCACTGGTTACACAAGGCGCCAAGTATTCCCAGAAAAAACCGTATTGCATTTACCCTTCAGTTTTTTGGTGACGTGACTGAACATCTGCTTGCAAAATGACTTTCAAAGGACAAATGCTAAATTGCGATCAGGGAGAATTGAGAAATCCTTGACGCTCGTTTGTTAAGTTGTCTACCTATATGTATAGGGTTAAGGTTAGGGTAAGGGTTAGGATTTGTGATCCGAATTGTTTTCTGTTGAGTACAACAAACAAGCAAATCACTAACACAAACAAAAGCCGCAGAGAGGGGGTTTGGAGGGATGAGTCAACCATCATGGGATCATAGTGAAATTCTGGACGATCCGTCCCTCGTTCTCTCCGGTTTATCTTATTAATTCCCTGTAGTGTCACTATCTTTAATACCAGCGGATCCAAGTTGTGGGGGAGGTCGGGTAAAATTTCTTTGATTGATTGTTGTTTGGTATTTAGGTGGAAGGGGGCAGCCGTCAAATACACAACAGAATAAAAATTTTTGCTCGCTACTTAGTACCTATTATTTTATTCTTATCATCTTAAAATGTAATTTTCTAAACTTTAAACATCTAAATTTTTTTTTAATTTTGATATTGTTATCTTTAAAATGAAAATTCTCAACATTATTTGTTTTAAGGTTCGCAAAGCAACTGACGCACTCCTTCTAAATGCCTTTATTAAATGCTTTTGCACCAAGGTTTAGGAGAATGGTTTAGCAATCATCACTTGAGATTGTTTGAGTTTTCACTTAGAAAAAAAAAAAACAAGAATATACTTCTATTGAAGCATATTTCGTAATCATCCGGTCTTTTGCAGGTGTTTTTTCATTGATTTTTTCCTTCGAGCTTGAATGAGTGTCGATAGCTCCTAATAAAGATGTTCCTGGGGCGAATTGCACACCGTAATAAACCTATTTTGTGGGCAGAGTTCTCATAGGTCCAATTACAGCCGCGAACGATGGCAGTTATAGACAGCACAGACCATTTTTATGTTAAATTCATCGAGCCGAAGCGAGTTGTAAACAAAAATTTTGTTTTGATTGCTGATATTGTTTATTTGGTTTAAATAGATCTCGTGGTTTGTACGAATTTTTGTGGTATATAATTTTATTTCTTAAAATACTGCTTGTTGAACGGTTCTCGGAAATTCTGTTTTGAATTTTAAAGAATATAAACCATTGGGCGCCAAAATTCCTTATTATAGAGAGTTTTAATCATACAAGTCCCGAGGCAGTCTTTTGAGATGTTAATAATGCTGTAAATTATTTTCCTTTGGTTCATTTACATCTTGATAAGGCGATGAAGTGAATGTGGGAAAGATTTCACACGCATTGATGTTGGAAAGGCTCTTTCGAACAGTAAATAAAGGTGAAAAGGAAAATCTTAGATTTAAATGAAATTTTAATCAGGCAAAAATTCAAGCGTAAAAACAGACAGATTGAGCTTCTCAACGCTTTATGCACGCTATTTAATTAAACAGCGACGTTGGTAGCCCGGCTGAAATCGATCAAAAACCAATCTTTGTTGACCATTGGCCATCCAGCTTACCACATCTCATTTTATCAGGGAAGATATCTTCGGATAGTTTTATCGCTGACGGTTTCGAAGGAAACTCAAAGAAGACAGGTAAGTAGAATTGTTCCAGACTTTTAAAGGCAGCAAATCGCGTGTATGAACTAATAACTTTATGAACGTTCGTTTCTTGGCCACAGACGCATAAACAGTTGGGGTTCCGCAGAGAAACGACCGCAAAAAACGATGCTTCCCCACAGTTTAACACTTCAACATTGCTTCCTGTCGATTTTCACGTTTAAAGTAATATTGGTGACAATGAAGTATCAAAGTAAGTATATCGTAGACGTAAGTAAGGTGCTTTGGTACAGTACATCACAAAATATAGAAAACCTGTGTACATTCCTTGTTTGTATGCCAAGTATGGCAAGTGCAAATTTCTAATCAAGTGAATGCTTCTAAGTCTAAATTTTTTTATCCAGTTTTACTAAAAGTTTAGAAACTTAAAAATGTGGTTTCAAGGAATCATTGAATTTGACCTGTCTCGTTTGCCATATTACAGTTTACGTGTTTCTAGTTTATTGTTCATTCTTTCGCCTTTGTCTTCACAGTTGTAAATGTAAGAAAGCGTTTCTATTTTAGAAACACAAAGCTGAGCTTCTTTGGTGACTAATTCTTTCGAAAGATGTAACAGAGTTAGGCTCTCCTTCTGCTACATCGCCAGACAGTATGTCACTAATTTGCATACTTTCCGCAATCTTGCATGATATTTTGATACTTGGTTACAAAATCCTAAGGTTCAGAACAAAATTTTGGAACAACAGAGGGGTCTAAACAACAGAGAATAGTATGGCCCTGTTCACCCAGATATTTACGGATGAGATCACGCAAATTCAAGAGTAAACTGCAACGGTTACCTGTCTAACTATCGGCTCGAACTGAACCTTAAAAACAGATTGGCTAGCTACGACTAAACAAGAAAAATTTTATAAGCGACAAAAGAAAAATTTCGTTTGCGTCAACTACCGAGTGAAATAGGAACTTGTTAAAACGAGCCGTGACTTGGTTAATCCTACATGCGAATAAACAGCTTTAAACTTGGCTCTAAGTGATGTTGTGATATTTTTTAATGATATTCACTTCGATTCTTCATGATCAGCTCGACTTAGTGTGAATAGAGCAGCTTGCAGCCTTCTTCAGTTAAAGAGCTGCAATATTGGGATTCCTCTGTGAATGCAACAGATTCGTTTTAAAAATCACTATAGAAACGCAATATGTAGGTTACTGTCGGCTTGCTCAAGTGTTGAACGTTGTTTTCCTAATTACTGGAGACCTTCCCAGCCAAATGATGTCTTATTTCGCGAAATCCACCGAACCCTCGCGGTCAAATTTTTTCTTAATTTTTTTCACTTTCTTTTATGTTCTCAGCTACTTACACAGCATGGACACGATTTTAGCCGTGTTTTTAATCGTCGTGCGGTGCCCCTTTGAGAGTCAGGGTCAATCTGAACTTTCCCGATCATATTAGCAAACAACGTGGAGTTGCTAGGAGACTAGAATCTTTCAAAGTATTTGGCCCGTAGATGTTTTTTATTTTCTTCTGTGAATTAAATCAAAACCTGAAGAAATTAGTTTCGTGCCGTTTAATGTTTCCTTTTATGATGCAAATCGTTGTAAGCGCATGGGGGTTCAAAATTCTGCGATCTTCGAAAGAAATTACGGAAATGCATCATAAGTTAGGTTTTTCATTGGAATTTTCAGGTGATCTTAGAAAAAGCATTTGTCATAAACGAAACAAAAGCCGCTGCGATTTTTGTTGGGGTAATTTGTTTTCAGTGCATGCTTAATAATTACTAGTTTTCTGCAAACGACGTGATCGTTTTGGAGTACTCACACGCAAAGCTGCTTTTGGTTCCAAAACCCCGTTCATTGACACTGGGTTTGTTTGCTCATACAAATTGTAAATTGGACCAATATGGAGATATGGAATCAAATCACTGATGAAAAGGCTTGTTGGAAAATCTCCCATCCGCTCAACACAGCAACTCACGTTGAATATTAATTAATGTGACAAAATAAGAGGGGCGTTTTTAATTGCTGTAGACTACACGGAACAATTGAAGAAAATTTGGGTCGAATGAGATGATTCATGCAAGAACAAGTTTGCGGGGTAAAGCAATCAGCAGTTCCCATAAGTGTGTGGGTAAAAATTATTTGTTTACAAGAAACTGAAAGGGGAAATCATATGCAAACAAATTGTACATCTCTTGTCGATGTAGATCTCATTAAGTTCCCCAGCTGCTGAGAGAAGGTGGATCAGATTGACAATTTATGATAAATTGCTTTCCAAAATTAGTTTTTTCTAAGATTTTAATCTACAAAACAGATTGGTTCGTGAAGTGATGTTTGTTTGAGTCGTGTAGAATCACAGAATTATCGATCATCTCGAAAGCATGTTGAATTGCTTCTCAGGCAATGGATTCAAAATCTGAAGAAAGATTGCGGAGGTTTATTTTTCAAACTATCTCAGTATGTTATCTTGCACTTAGTCTTGAAGAGGGAAGAGCCAAAGATTCAAATACTTACCACTCATCAGTGACAAAGATCGAAGATTGACAAATATATACCCCGAAAATAGCTTTTTTAGAACTTTTTTTTTTATCACTGTGCTTGTGCGACCATTATGTTATGAATTTCCCTCATGTTCCTGATTATTCAAGTATACTTCCGTTAAATGCTATCTATCATCAAAAACTGTGCCCTTCTTTCGTGAAAAAGTTGCGTGTCTGCAGCTGTTTTGAAAGATTAAATTTAAAATCACATTGACATTTTTCATAAGAGGACTTTTAATGTTGCATTCTACCATAAAGTAACTCCACGTTTAATTAGATCAACTGGCAAATTGGGCAAAAAAAACGTTTTTCCCTCTAGCATTTATTGCACTTACTAAAACAACAATGAAAAAAACATTCACTTCAGCTAATTTTGCTTTGTTCGCAAGCTCAGTTGATCTTACTTTCTCTTTGTAGGTTGTCATGCTCAAATAAACAGAACAAAAATTGAGCAAAGTCTGATAAAGGCTCTCTTTAAAAATTATGATTCGGAAGGAAGACCAGTTTTGAACCTGTCAACACCAGTTGTAGTCAAGTTTGGATTAGCCTACAGTAATCTTCAAAGTTTGGTAAGTGTGGCAAGTTGTAGATTGTTCGGGTTTAGTTTTGAATTTGCTGCGCTTTTCTCTTTCGTTTTCATCATTTGAGTCTTTTCATTTTAAGACTTTCTAGAATTAATATTACGCCTCAGTTCCTCTGTTCCGCGGAAACCGTGATCCATTCCATTCTATTTGCTTTCATCCTACGAAAATCTCATCTCTCTCACAATCTACAATGTGGAGCCTTTCCGCTGCCCCTTATTTCCATTCTATTTCGTGTTTTTGGATAACAATGTTTTTTCGTTTTTTGTTTTTTGTTTACAGTTTCGTTAATGTTATCAAGGTCATCATAACATCTTGTTTCTCTCAAGTGTTAAATTCATGGTTACTGCACTTTTCGATTATTTCGCAACCAACTGCTGTGTTTGTAATCCATCCTTTTGACAAAATAAACAAAACAACTTCTGATAATTGAAAAAGCTCTTTTGTGGAATTGTAACTTGAGTATATGTATAAACAGCTTGTTGTAAACCAATTCCCCTGTGGGTGCCGGTTTAGTCACGATATAATTTGGAAAAAATTGCCGAAGGCAGAACTTTAGGCACTCAAGCATAAGAGCTATCGTATTTCGCGCTAGCAATAACATCTGTGTTGGTGCAAGGACTAAAAGTCTTTTTCGAATTGTCTTTTTTTACTTAATGTAGTTTACACCTTCTTGTAGCTTTGTTAATTAGTCTTCAAATGCGTGCTCCCCTGTTGAAAATTGGATTTTGGACGCGATTTGTACCTTTATTTTATCGGATTACGTAATCGAACACGTGGCTTTTGAGATCGGAATCTAGTGCCTCGTGCGGCATGCGCCTTTCTTGTATCATTTGCATAAAATAGAGGTAAAGTCGGACAACTGTTGAACTCTCTACCTCACATAAGGATAAAGTCTTTGAAAGTTCTGGGAATAGTTTCGTTTCACATACTCTCTTTGTTTCTTATGTTCAGGTTTGATTTCTGCGTCTGTTCTTGTCCAGTGTAGGTACAGCGTGTTTCAATCACAATTGTCCTTTACCGCTTGGCTTTGCCTCGCATCGTTTTACTTTTTTAAATCGTTTGGTTTGTGTAGTCGATGAAATAAATTAGGCGCGTATAGATACAAAACTACAACGTGTTTCCAGTAGAACTAACGATCGTCATATGGGAGAGATAGAAAAACAGACTTCACATACTGAAGATGTTTCTAGGCTGAAGCCAACGATAAGCAAGCAGTATGACAGGTCCTTTAATGGCCTTTAATGCTCCGCGAAAAAATCGTTTTTTTTAATCTAAAAATTATATTATAAAAAATCGATGCCTGTAGGTAGGGTCAGATATAATATTCTCGAAAATTCGAGTATTATGCTTCGGAGCTTTTTCTGAAAATACAACGTTATGCCAAAATTGCATTATGCTCCATTAATTAACTCAATCGAGAGATTTTTAGAGCGCTTCAACCCCTTATCTTCCTCCCTGCCACCGACAGGTAAAACCTACTAGAGATGAAAGACTTACTGCACTTCAAAGACAACACTTTATTGGACTCAATTCTCAGGCTACACATATACGGCATTTGAGAGGTATATGCCGAAAACGACCCTGCAATTTTCATAATCGATAAAGTACTAGAAATGCAGGTGAACGCGTTTATGTGTATGTTTTTTTAGTCATTTTGCCGGCACTATGCTCGATTCTGTGACTATAGCATCATGCCCAAAATTGTGCCGGCTTAATCTATCTGAGCCTACCCGTAGATATCCTGAAAATCGGTGCGCTGTGCTCCATGCGCACCGAGCCCCCATCGAGGAGGGAGAGCTAATGATCAAGCAGAAGAACAAAGCATTTCCGTGTTCACGTTTGAACCTGAGTTAAACTGACATATCGAGTTTTGGTCTGCAGGATGAAAAGAATCAAGTTTTGACAAGTAACGTTTGGATAAGACAGGTAAAGTAAAAACCTTTACATATACCCTCTTTAGCGCGTTCTAACCACGGAGATTAATCTTCTACAATGTCTACCGCAATAAGCATTGTTAACGTTATGTAAACAGTTCTGTTATCTTGACCCTTCTTAAGTGTAGTTTTTTTTATAGTGTTTTACAAGTATCTCAAAGTATAAATGAAGCAATTGTTTTTGTTCCTGTTCTTTGCAGCAATGGCACGATCCTTGGCTGTCCTGGGACGCATCAAAATACAATGGTCTCAGCTCTATCAACATAAGTCCCAACTTGGTGTGGAAACCTGATATTGTTCTGCATAACAAGTGAGTTGTAATTCAGAGCTTTCCCACCTTTAACAGTTTTCCCCAAACTCCCCTGTCGGGTCTCCGCGTCAAAGACGGCAAGAGGAAAGGAAAAAGCCCCCAAAATTCTTGAAATAAAATATTAGGATCAGATAGGTGGGTTCCAATATGAACCGTTCGTTCATCCTTAAAGAGCAATTTTAGTTGAGTATCCAAAGACATCCATGTTTGCATCGGTTTACTTCGGCACGCTCTTTGATTGGTCCAGAAAATTCGCGCCACCCCTTCAACCAATCAGATCAAAGGGAAAACCAGTAGCCACTTGATCACAAGCGTATTCCCGACACCGCTGATTGGCGGTTCTGACTACACAGCTTTACCTTGGGTTGTATTTACGCTACGCAAATCAAAAGCGCTCATTACGTTATGCATCTGAGCAATTTCCAAACAGGATCTTTAGTTATATAGGAACCGAAAATGCTCACAGCGTCTTGCATTTCTGTCCAAAGTGTCAATGAAGAAGGAGACCATGGCGAGCAGTATCTGTTCGACACAAAGATCATCGTCAGCAGTGACGGTACAGCCACGTGGTTGTCCCCAAATCTCATCAAAAGTTCGTGCAAAATCAACGTCAAGTATTTCCCTTGGGACATACAGACATGTTACCTCAAATTCGGCTCATGGACTTTCAATGGCTTCAAACTTGACCTGGATTTCTACGGAGAAAAACCTGGTGCGGACTTGAGTACTTTCACACTAAATGGTGAGTGGGATCTGTTGTCAGCGGACGCGACGAGGAACGTGGTTTATTATGGATGCTGCGTGGAACCTTATCCAGACCTTACGTTCGAGATAAAAATAAAGCGGCGTACCTTGTTCTACGTGAACAACTTGATTGTGCCGTGCATCGTCCTAGCCCTTCTTACAGCAACAGCGTTCCTCTTTCCGCCTCAAACGGGCGAGAGAATATCTCTTATGATCACCATTCTACTTGGTATGACTGTTTTTATGATCGTAGTGATTGAAGCCATACCGTCTACGTCAGAGGTGACTCCTCTTATAAGTACCTACTTCTCTGTAGTCATGATCGAGATTTCCCTGGGTCTCCTGTGCACCTGCATTAGTCTCAACATAGAGCATCAACATCCTAAAATGGAACTCACAGGATGGACACGGTACATCTTGTTCGAGGTACTGGGTCCTATTCTGTGCAGCAACTCTTTAAAGAGACTGAAGAGGAAACAGCTCAAAAATAAAGTAAAAAATGAACCAATCGAATGTTACGTGAAAGAGAACCGCATCGTCCCCGACGATGACAAAATCGTCGTTACGAACATAAAGTCGCAAGAGGATGTGAAAAACACTGTTAACGTGGAAGAGAAGGAGGTTAAAGTGGCGGGTATGGAAAAAGTCTCCAAGTTCATAGATCGGGCTTTGTCTGAAGATAAGCGCAAACTAGAATGGCATGTTGTTGTAAACGTTATTGACAATTTCTTTTTTTTTCTATTTCTTCTGACCATCGTTATTTCTTCGCTGGTGGTACTCATACAACCGAAGCCAGAGAGCTGAAAATTTGTTGGTCATTGCCTAGACGTAATATATAGAACAAGCGTCATTTCTTTAAGTTTTCTGGGCGGGCAGATGGAGGCAAGTGCAGGGCTTGTGCGAGGAAAGCCCGACGAGTGAGTCACGCAATGAAGACCGCTCATCCCTCGCTCATAACTCGCGTTTGACACGCGCATGAATTTCGCACTGAGCTCACTCCACTCGCCCGAAGAATCGCGAGAGAATGACATTTTTTGCGAAGGTTATTCTTGATAACGTACATTAAGGGATTACTTGTGCATTAAGACTTTTCAATGAATGCTATATGGGAAGAGAACTCGGTGGATTGTCATTCCCGTAAACGTGAATTTTAGTCAATTCGCAGTCTTCCGAAATCTTGAGACCACATAATTGCAGGAAAGAGTTGCAGTGACCTCAAGCCATAAGTTAGTCTTAAAGGACCCTGGTTTGCAAAACTGCGGTATATTTTAACATTTTACAATGGAGCAGAGGCATCCGCGAGGCAAGCACGCAAGAGGAGGGACGCGACCTCGCGTGACACTAGCACTCTAAAGTCGCCTTACGCTTGCTTCCGCTCTCCTGAAAGAACGCGTAAAAGATAAGCAGCCCTAAAGGATCTTAAAAGGACCCCTTCGATTTAAAAAAAGAACACAAAGATTCGTTCTACATGTCTCAGGGCGTAAATCATCCGCAATTGTAACTGTCAAAATTATTGTACTATTTTCCAGTCTTTCGCATACTCCTCAAAACACAAGGAAAAGTTTTATAGCAAACACCTTTTGACTAAGAATACAATAACCTTAAGATCAATCTGCATCTCACTGATATTTTAAGAGAGGCTGGTGTTCATAAAAATGGGAAGAAGTACTAGTGTAAAAAAGAGGATTAAGACGTTTCATTGTAACTGTGATGTTCATAGCCGAACAGATTGCAAATTAAATTATTCATAGCGTAAACTATTTGTGGAAAGCGTGACGCTTTTGTAGACAATACTTTATAAATGACGGGAGGCTCTCAGCGCCAACGATGCAATTTTTCGGGCACCTGTTGGTTTCTAGTACTAGATTTTAAACAATGAAGGGAGGCTCTCAGCACCAACGATGCAATTTTCTCGGGCACCTGTTGGTCTAGTACTAGATTTTAAAAGACCCCTCCCCTCCCCTCCCCCTCCCCCTCCGCCCCTTCTTTCTTCGTACGATCTACTCTTTCAAGTCGTTCCAGGCTCCTTACATTCAACGAATCCAAAATGACAAACATGTCGCAGAGAAAGTTACGAAAGATGAACTTAAGTTAACTATTGCTTACCCGCTACTGTCATAACCCCCCCCCTTCCCCTCCCACCCTTCTTCTCTCCTCTCCACTCCACCCCTTATCTTCTTGATGTTAAGCGGCAACTAAGAACAGAAAGACCAAAAACGCCTTAAAAAACTCGCGAGTGTTCTTATTTATGTTCGGGTTGTGTCAGGTGCATGGAACTTCGGGACGATTGCCCTTAAATCAACAATATCTTACCTGGGAAAACTCAACGACCTTGAATACCCTTGGTTGAAATAAATGTAGTGACCTTGAGTACTCTTTTCTTCTAAAGAAATACTTGCCGGACGAAAATAGATCTTGCGACTTGTAATAAATGCGCGTGGACTGGGTTGGTGTTAAGACATATACGGATTGCGTGGGCTGAGCGCGTGACTTGGATATGATGTCTTCTAGGATTCGCCGGGCTATAAATATCCGATTCTGTGCTACTTGGTAACAGTCACTGAATTAGTTTGTTCAAACTTGTCATAAGTGCATCGCTTTAGCTATGGGACCTCGTCCGCTGCCTCTGCTCTGCAGCTTGATTGCCGTGGTTTTTCTCGTCAGCCGTGCAAAAGCAGTCGCCTTACCCAAAGCCTCGCCTCTCCATATTCTCTTTGTTGTCGTTGACGACCTCGGCTGGAGTGATGTCGGATTTCACGGCTCGAAAATCGAGACTCCAAATATTGACGGATTGGCGGCGGAAGGTGTCGAGCTGGACAACTATTACGTTCTACCGGTTTGCACCCCTACGAGAAGCGCTTTCATGACAGGACGATATCCAATCCATACTGGTAAGTCTAAATCTTTCCGGAAATAGTTGACGATTAGCAGGTGCTCTCCTGACCCCACTTTGACTCAGAGATCCTGGCCGTTCGCCAGCAATGACCCATCTGGTGTACATTTCAGTAAAATTAATCGTTATACAGGAGGTTATACGTCTAACTGTTACTTTCTTTTGAATCTAAAATACTGCGGTTGCACCCGTTGCGTCTGCTGCTTCGAGAGCTTCGATTTCATATCGCGCTAGTCGTTAGCACATATGATTCGTGCACATCAATACTACAACTACAGATTAAACTATCCACAACTTTAGCAGCGTTCAAAACCCTGCAACTTTTCCAAGTTGGGAGTATAACCCTCCGCTGGATAAAAATAGAGAGTAAGCCTTTTCTTAGCCCTGTGCATGTTGAAGGCTCTCGTGGTCGCAGGCTTACTTGTAACAATTAGACTTACTTACTATTTTCTTTCCACTGATGTTAAGGTATGCAGCACTTTGTGTTGGGTCCGGCAAGTCCCTATGGATTACCTCTCAACTTCACCACTTTACCACAGAAAATGAAAGAATTAGGTACGCTTAAATTAATTTTATTTTGCTTGATACACGCATACTGTTGGTTGGTGTAGTATAAATCATCCACATTAGTTAGATTATGAAAATTTCTTATTTGTACCCACATTTCTTACACATGTGGTACTGTTGCATATAGCTGTAATAGTGATTGTGGAGTTATGAGGAGACCTGGTCCCAGTTGTTCAAAGGAGGATTAGCACTAACCCAAGGTTATTGAAATTTTAATCCAGGTTTCTTATTACTTTGTTCAAAAGCCTTTTTCAGTTAATTTTCTCTATTCTTCTTAGAGCATCCAATGTCAAATTATAGAAAAAAAGAATTATGCTGAATTTCCATTTTGAGCTTCCAGATCCGAACTCAGATTAACCCTGGGTTATCTTAGCTTTGAACAACCCGGCCCTCATCAACAACTGCCTGTATAGAAATTGGCCAATGTTGCAGGCTTACCTCAAAGGCTCTTTTAAACCTTAATGGGAAAGGGTATCTTCTTTAGGGTGAGGTGACAAAAAAGTTGTTTTAAATAACTTGGTAGCAACTGTGAGGCAAGTTTTAAAAAATAGCTCCTCATATCTTGGGAAATGAAAAGTTTTTAACTTCATGTTTTCTCCCAAAGGTTATGCAACTCATATGGTTGGTAAATGGCACCTTGGTTATAACAAATGGGCCTATACACCGACTTATCGTGGGTTTGATTCATTCTATGGCTATTACAATGGAGCTGAAGATCACTACACCCATGAAATCCAGAACATATTGGACTTACGAGATGATAAAGAACCAGTGAGGGACCTGAATGGGACATATGCCACATTTGCTTTCACAAAGGTATTTTGAATTTGAGTTGTAGCTGCTGTTGTTGCTGATTTTGTTTTGTTTTTCATTTTATTTCTAGGAGATCAGATCATAGGGTTTGAGACTAACATCATACCCAAGTAGCCTGAGTATTGATCATTGCACAAATATATCAGTTTTTGAAAATGTACTTCTCAGTTTTTATCAATTCAACTGAATTATAAGTTTATTTTAAGGGTGGTAAGTGGTAAAATCAGAGACTTGCTGAGATGCTGAGACCTAGCTCTTTGAAAATCCAAGACCAGGATTACATAATTCTTGGAATAGCACCTCTCTTGTTGCAATTATCAAATTATTGCATGCACCCTATTTACATGATGGACCTGCACAGAGACTTTGGTCCTTTACAATCCCATCTGACTAGGACCCTCAAATGAACTAGTTAGACCAAATCTTAGTTTTGAGAACTCTGAAAAGTGCAAGACTTTGATACAAAACAACCACCTTATGAAGGAGACTTCAAGGATCATTATTGCCAAGGGGTGAAAAGAATCAAGATCAGATCAAAAGTTTGCAGGGTCCAAAACTTTGCAAAGTACCATTAGCCTGACCCTTCAATTGTTTCTAACTTTTAACATGCTATTCACACAAATATTCTGATTGCAGCGAGCAACCAAAATTATCAAGTCACATGACCCATCAAATCCCCTTTTCATGTATATGGCATTCCAAAATTGCCATGGCCCCGTCCAAGCACCCGAAAAATATACAGAAAAGTACAGTTTCATTACAGATGAAACTCGTCGAACCTATGCAGGCATGGTGAGCATTACAGATGAAGCCATAGGCAATATTACGCAGACCATGAAGGATGCTGGGTATGGGCCTTTTTTTTCTTCCATTTAACTTCAAACAATTTAAGGGTTGGGTTCTCTCACCCTGTCTACTATGAAGTTGGAACTACCTTCTCTTTCGATGAATGATTACTTCTTAAATTGTTCAACATTAGGACTGGAAAAAACAGCCTTAAAAAATGGCTAAAGAAACTATTTACTTTTCAGACAGTTACCCCTGCAAGTGCAGGAGACACATTGGTGTAATGCACTGGACTCTGGGCCAAGAGGTCTAGATTTGAGACCTGGCCAGGTCACTGTGCTGTGTTCTTGGGCAAAACATTTACTGTTGCAGTGCCTCTCCCCACCATGGAGTATAAATGAGTACCCAGGAACTGAGGGAAGCCTGATGACATACTGGGGAGGGGGAGGGGGGATAAATTTGCAATGAACTAGCATCCCACCCAAGCAGGAGTATGAATACTCCTAGTCACTTTGTCCATGTCAACCCTAAACTCCCATTAGTGACCAAGACAGAATTTCTCCTTAGAATATCAAGAAATACCAAGCAGACACATGTTAAGAATAAAAAAAATATCAATTAGGCAATAAGTAGTTGATTCAATGACAAATTCTCCAGCCTGATACACAAGAATGTGTGGTAGACAGTTAGGAGAATTACTGATAAGATCTTGGGAGGGAGAGGGTTAAGGAAACTAGTATTAGCTCTTGCCAAGTGGGGTACTTGGCTCAAATGCAGACTTACCTTCCCCTGAAGGTTCCAAAAAATCAATTTATTTTTGATGTCTATGTCATTTATCAGGTTGTGGGAAGACACACTTATGGTTTTAACCACTGACAATGGAGGAATCCACAGTCGTGGAGGATATAATTATCCCCTTCGTGGAGAGAAGACAACTTTATGGGAGGGAGGGGTGAGAGGAGTCAGTTTTGTCCATGGAAATATGCTTGGCAGGAAAGGAGTCAAAAGTGAAGAACTTATGCATGCTACAGATTGGTACCCAACATTGGTAAATCTTGCAGGTAAAGTCAATGGTCCTATTTTCCTCTTTTCCTGCTTCAAGCCTTAGCCAAGTCATTGTGTTGTCACGATGTGTATTGGCAAACTTTGAGGGAAACTAGGCAAAATGCTGGGGGTTGGGGGATAACTTGTATAACTAAAAGCTGGATCATTGGATATTGCAATTCAAGAGTGTTTTTTGGTATAGCCATCATGGGTTATGAGCCATTATACCCTGCATGCACATGAAGAGGAGTTAAAACAAAAGTGTTTTTGCACGTTGTAACATTCTGTTTGTTCTTACAAAATAAAGTGGGAAGATTTATATTTTGGGGCATTTTTAATAATACAATTATTCTACTTGCACTTGTTGGATATGAGATGATTATAGCTAACTTGATCCAAAAGGCCTCCCTAGCCATCTATTATGACCTCATATCCAACATGTCCTTGTGGAATAATTGTTTAATAGATTGTAATGCCATCCAGAATTGCATCATGCTACAGAAACCAAGACAAGGTCCATCATTGTGTGCAGCTGGGCCTAAGTAAAGATATAACTTCACCTTATTCTGCACTACATATTACAGGTGGTGACGCAGATCAAGAATCAATACCCCTGGATGGTATGGATGTTTGGAACACCATCTCCCATGGTGACCCTTCACCAAGGAAGGAGATTCTTCTTAATATTGACCCCCTTCCTTTTGACAATGATGATCCATCTGTTTCCTTCTATGAGGGAGTTGCACTGAGATCAGGTCATATGAAAATTCTGATGGGAGTGAATAATGATACTTGGTATACACCTCCTGAGCTTGGTGGGAAATCAGAAAGCAAACATGTGATTTCCCCCAGAAAAGATCAAGTCCTGGATTTGTTAGCATCTACCAAGGAGGTCAGTGTATCTTTATGAGTTTAAGTAATCTGAACTTGATCTTAACAAGTTTGACACATCTGTGATGAACTCCATTTTGAAACAACTTATAATATTTTCTACAGATCAGTTCACGTGATGTGAAGTTGATATGATATATTGTCTTTGGGCTAAGGCCCTTCTTATTTTGTTGCTTTTGTCTGGAAATGTAATTTTTTGATGGCTATGTTGTGCAATACCAAACACACCTATCTCATGAATGAAGTGGGTAAGTTTCTAAATAAATAAATAGAATAAACTGTCGTGCTGCATCAGTGGAGTGTATCACAAAATAATTTGGTTTAATCAACTGAGGTGATAATATTTTGATAAACAACACAATTAGTTTGGCATAGAGAGAGCGGAAATGTTCTCAGTCCTCTCCTGTTCTTGTTTAAGCAAACAAGGAACGGAAATTGTACATATCAATGCCATAACCAGTACAGCAACTCTTAGTTAGTCAGTCTTTTTCTCACGAGATAAATGTTCTTCTACAGAACGTTGGAAGTCGCCTGAAAGTTGTTCTATATAACGTGACCGCTGACCCAACAGAACACGAAGATCTTAGTGAGAAACTTCCAGATGTAGTTAAGGAATTGCAAGAGAGAGTGCAGTACTACATAAAAGGGATGGTGCCTCCGTTCAACAAATTGCCTGATCCTCGGGCTTTCATTAAAGCAGAATTGGAAGGCATCTGGACACCATGGCAAGATTAAATTACTGTAGATGTACAGTGCTGTGAGAAGTACCTGCCAACTGATTTATTAGTTGCTCAACATTTGTGGAGCTGTTATCTTAGTGTATTGCAGTCTAATGCACTCGAACCAATTCACCAAAGATTACGGAGTCACAAAATTTTAGTTTAAGTTTCAAATTAGTGTAAAGTACACTTACTTCACACGTGTACAATTAGTTTTGACACTGTGAATATCACTAAATCATGCTCCTCTCGTATGAATATTCTATGATCAGACCCTTGCTACATTAGAAGCGTCTGTATTGGAGTCTAGCGCAGTCGCACGAACTGGTCAGTCACGAAGCTTTCGTGCCAGTTGTAAAGCACAATTTATTTTGCACGTCATAAGTATAATTTGTAGTCTTGGAACGTGTAACGAAAAAAAATAAACATAACAAAACAAAAACCAGAAATAGTTCTTCGTCCAAAGAGTGTATCAGCAGACTTTTGCAATTTTTAGAAGCGTTGGTACCCTTCTTTAATTATGTGTGTAAATAGATTTAAATGACATAAAATACTTTTCTTGCTCATAACGGTGTGCAGTGAGTTCCCCGGACTTGAAAGGAATTTGTTTGTTTATTCGCATGATACGGTTCCTTTTAGTGCGTTATGCGATTTATGGCTGATGAGTGTGCAATATTTTGCCTTGCATTGAGTACACGATGCGTTTCCAGGGCGCAACGGGCACAACGGTGTTCCTCACATTTAGGTTGCCAATAACTTTCCTTCAATTAAGTACGCAACTCGTCCCTTCGCATTTCAAGACGTGTCACGTTTCATTGTATTTGAGCGCATATTAAGCATTTATCAGCAAGTGCGCCAAACTTTTCCCTCAAACTCGACTGCGCAATACTTTTTATGTTTTTTGTTTTTTGTTTTTTTATGGTGGCTCATATCAATTTTTAGCTATTTAACGATATTTGATTAACGTAGGGTACGTGATGTTTTTCTCTACCGATCTGAGTTCGCAAAACGCTCCTCTTTTTAAAAACGTTTAACATTCGCCACATTCAATTGATCAATACTTTTTTCTTTAATTCGGTGCTTTATACGTTCTCCTGCGGAAACTGCACATCACCAGTCATTTCGTTAAGTGCGCGACGAGTTCCTTTGCTGTACAAATCGCATCACTTCTTATCATGTAGGTGGAAAAGGAAGAGTATTTGTAACTCCATCTTCCATTACCATTTTCTTTGTATAAAAAGCCCACATCAACCTTCCATTGACCCTTTATTCCCTGACGTCAGTGAGTATATTTGCCAAACTAGGTGCTCATAAGGGTATTTGTTTAAACAACCAAGAGCTTCTTCAGTTGGTGATCATTTCCTTTATTCTCGTAAACTTAATATGTGATTCAGGGGTGACACGGTAAGGAGAAATTAGACGCAATTCACTCTTTGCACCCCACCATCTCTTCCATGGTTACATAATTTTACAGTTCAGTGTGAATCCGACTTCTTTTCCCTCACTCAGCGCAATTTTTCTTTTCTTGAGTTTTACACCGTTAAGCCACACGACTTGAACATCGTTCTTTTCTTCCCATGCAATCTCCCTCCTCCTTCCCAGGTTTAAATTGCCCACAGCCAGTGTTATCATTATTGCAGCAGGTAGCCATGTTGATGTAAGTTACCATATAGGTTCATAATTATCTTAGAGCTAAGAAGACTAAAGTTTAGGTCACAGTTGTGATAGGTGAGGTAAAAACCTTGAAAAAGCGACTTGAGGAGGCTATAAGAATTAGCTTGCGATCGGATTATCTGTCACCGTGAATATATTTGTGTTCGTGAGTCCACAGGCGGCCCAAGCGTACTGCGTATGATTTTAGAGGGTCTCAATAGGGTGATGGCTTTTACGGCTAAGGGTTAAAATTTGGCCAATTTAAGGCTAATGGTTAATATCTTTCCATTAAGGTAACCAGACAAAATTTTAACAACGACTAACGGTAAAAATCTGTCAATTTTGCGCCTAACGGCTACGTTTTTTGCTGTTTTACTGCTAACGGTTAACCCTATTGAGGTTAACCTCATTTTGGGGTTTTCGACTCACGCGTTATTTGTACTCTTCTTATTGCAACTGAATGATAAAGCTTGTTATGTCTCCTTACCTTTACTAGTTCCGCCTTATCGCTTTCGGAAATTTTGTATGGCGTTTTGTGTACTATAAAAATAGGGTGGGCAGGTCACTGGACCGGTCCGGAGCACCAACCGTCTCCAGTTGAAGGCCAGTAAATTCCACAAAAGTCCATCGATCTCCCTCAAATTGCCACCAATGAAAGTGCATTACAAATACCTACCCGTTCGAGCAGCAAAAGTTTAATTACGAGAGAAGAATAAAGAAAACTGGGGCTTAACTGCAGATTACTCCGCCACTTTCGTCCACCTCATTTACATGTGTCGGAAAGCTTTGAAGATCGAGGCGTAACACAATAAACGTTATTCTTATTCAGTGACATGTAAATGAGTAGCAGGGTATTCTACAGCTTAACCTAAAGGGGCAAGTTTCTCAAGAAACTGTGTTACGCTCTGACGAAGGGCTAGCGCTCGATACGTCAGCTTAGAAACTCTTTACGGTGGCCGATTTTTACATTATCACTTCAGTTGATGAAACCAAATTATCTAAATAAGATGGCTGCGAGAGAAACTGGTTGTAGCTCGGTTTGAATCACCAAGAGGCGGAAAAATTTTCATTTTACTAAAACTCTTCTCGATTTGAGAACATACTTGGAACATATTACCTTGGCTTATTTTGTTTTCTACGGCATGAAACGAACAGAAATACAACGAGATACTAAATCATAACAGACGACTGCCCTGAGAACCTCACTAACCTCAGTTACATCATGGCTTTTCTCAGTTTCTTAGTTTTTTTGTCTCAACTAACATTAAACCCAAACTTTCTCTCCGGCTTTGAACAAGAAAAGTTAAGAACAATGAAACAAGTTTGACTCTTCCGAAATTTGAATGAAAAAACAAAGAGTCTCCTGCTGCCTGAGGGAAGAGCTTTTGCATTAGTGAGCCGACCCCGAAATCGAGGACTGTCATGTTCTCCTTTCAATCAACTGCCTGTTGACTCGGTGCGTGTAAGAAATTTTCTCTCTGCGTCCGCTGTGATTATATGTGCTTGATGATACAAACATTAACAATTTTACGTGTGTCTGAAGTAATGAACTGTTTTTTTGTTATTTTCTTTCCTCTCTAAACTTTCGTGCTAAAAAATGCATTGCTGTTCAGAGTAGAAATGATTTCTTAAGAGTTAGTTCGTACAAAACTATTGATTGAGATTCATAAGTCAGATTAATGGTCTCATTTTGTTATAGCGTGAGGTTTGCTGTCACCATGCCTTTCGGTACGTAAATTATTACGTATGCATTTAGTTCTCCCAAAGGGATTAATATTCTGACCTTGGCAATGGGAAAAGTTCGGCTTTTTGTTCATTGTTTGCTTCTCACACTTGATTAGCTTCAAGAGCAATAACAGCACTAAGCGCTGGTCGAACACGCACACGCCTCCACGAGTTGCGGAAACCTAACACGAGCTATCCCTCTCTTGAAAAGTCTCTGATGGCTTTGAATTTCCTGGCTGAGATCCTGCCTCTGGTTGCCTTGCTTCTTTCAGTTGCTTATATCAGCGTCCTTTTCTACCGATGGACGAAGCTACGAAATTATCCTCCAGGACCTTGGGGCCTTCCAATACTTGGAAATCTAGCTCAGCTTGGCTCCTCGCCGCATATCACATTGACTGAGCTCAGCAAGGTCTACGGAGATGTGTTTTCCTTAAAGTTTGGCTCCAGAAAAGCTGTGGTGTTGAACAGCGAGGAGGTGGTCAGAGAAGCACTGTTGAAAAATTCTCGCCAGTTGTCCAATCGACCACCGTTGTTCGCCGCTAAGAATGTCAGAAAAACGAGTATCTCTTTTGGAGAACATTGCTCAGCTCAAGTCCTCAGGAAGAGATGTGCCCTAAGAGCAATTCACCAAGTTGCATTCGACAAACAAGAATATTTCAATAAAATCGTGCAAGATGCGTTTTTGGAATTCCAAGAAAGTCTGGCCGAGAAAGAAGTGAAAACATTCCAGCCTTCTGTTGACCTTAAACAGGTTGTTATCAAAATCATGTTCCACTTTACGTTTGGAGAAGACCCTTGCAATGTCGACCAGCTCATAGAAGAAATGCAAAAGCTTGTTGAAGAATCCAGCGAGTTTACCGAAAGCAGCGCAGCTTGCGGTCTGGTGGACTTCCTTCCTTGGATTAAACCATTTATTCGCAAACAGGTGGCCATGGTGGAACGCTCAATCGAGGGGTTGATGTCATTCGTTGATAAAGTGTACACTAACACTACGTCTAGAGAAAAGGCTACTGATAAAAATTGCATTGCATTGAGCTTAGCAAAGCTTTGGGAGGAAGCTAAAAGTAAATATTACGAAGAGATAAAGATGGATTTAGATTTGGAAGAGCCGACGGATCTTCCTAATTCTTCACCAAAAGAGAACCAACCCAACAACGGGAAGGAAGAAATTGTCAAAATGCTATCAGCCGATATTTTTGGTGCAGGGCTGGAGACAGTCTCGAATTCCTTGTGCTGGGCGATGGCTTATATCGTAAACAACCCTGAGATACAGCAAAGTCTTCACAGAGAGTTGGATAACGCTGTTGGGCGGCATCTCCTTCCCACAATCCAAGATAAGCGAAACATGCCTTTATTACAAGCAACGGTATTGGAAGTTCTCCGCATTGCCTCTGTACTGCCACTTGCTCTGCCTCATGAGACAGCTGCAAAAACAACACTTAGTGGATACACGATACCTAAGGACACGCTCGTTGTCATTAATCTGTGGGCAGTGAATCATGACCCACGCGTGTTCCAGGAACCTCATGTATTCAATCCTTACCGATTCCTGAATGAAAACGGAGAGGTCTGCGATGTAAAAACCAAGTTTCAGCTACCTTTTTCGATTGGCAGTCGACGCTGTCTTGGAAGCTCATTGGCTAAGGCAGAAATGTTTCTCCTGTTGGCATGTTTGCTACAGCGTTTCCAGTTTTCACGCGCAACGCCTGACTATGTAGACTTGGAAAGTCAGTTTGGACTCAGCCTACGTCCAAAAAATTTCAGTGTTTGTGCCAATCTTCGGTAAAGAAAAAGAAAACTTTTCTAGATCTGTTTATTACTCACTCTCAGTTACACGATTCAGTAACTCCGGAAACGCTAGAAACAAAAACGTCTGTGAATTCGTCTTGTAGCTTATCGCGCTCTTCTTCTTGAGCCTTTGGAAAGAAATATTTAGATGTATAATATCTAAATGCTGAACCTTGTCGAACATATAGGATGCAAACATTTTAATCTTTTTAAAATACTATATTTAGCAAAGGTGGTTTTTACAAAATTTTTAGTTGTTATAGCAATGTTTCAAAACATGACTTTGGGAAGAGGGCCAAGGTGACTGTGCTCGAGTAACTTTGAAAAAGACACTTACAGAGGTCCATAGCCAATGGAATTTTACAAAAAAGTGTTTAAGCATGCACAAATATATATATAGTAATTTAGATGATGGGTCGTTGTGCAAAACGTGATCTTTCAGTGATCGATAGCCATCTCAGGGGTTATCAGGGTCCAAAGCAAAGACAGAAATTTGATAAACTCCCGAGAGTTTTTCGTTTGTGCGGTAGAAGAGAGAGCGAACTGTAGTCCTGCAATTAAGTATATTACCAATTTGCTAATTTTCCCGTTGTCTCGTTCCAAGATGTCAAAGTGTCCATGTCTGAAGGAAAAGATCACGGAAACGCGGAATTGTCAATGTACCCTCGGTGGGAGGTGCTCTGATCAAGCGCAAGTAACAAACAGTTGGAATTGTTTGACGCCGATTTCAATTGTCAACGTGGTTAGGTCAAGGTGACGTGGCTTGGTTGACTAAATTTCTAGCCACACATAGCTGAAATATTTTACACCGTATTTATTGTCAGGCAAGTACCAAGAGTAACCAAAATCTTTGTCGCTCTCGATCCAATGTGTCGAAAATCGGCCTTCATCGTTAGTCAGTGCTGAAGGGAGCATAACTCAGCTAAGAAACGATTCTCATAGTCAAATGAAGCCCAGAGAGTTTTAAGACTATAATGAAAGGTCAATGGACATTGTCTGAATGAAAGTTCTTTTCGTCTGATTTACTCTTCGCTAAATTTACCACAACTTTCTCGTATTTGAATCAATCTCAACAAGACCACACTTGCTTATTCACTTGCATGATAAAATATTTCGCAGTACCGTTCCATTAGCGAAATGATTGTTTAGAATAATTACCAAGGCACCAATCTCTGAAACAAACCTCTGACCTGACTTTGCTTGTACTTCGTATGTGCATAGTGTAGAATTGTAACATTGTAGTAACTTTAGAATAAAGGCAGTGTTAATCTTCCGCGTTGATTTCCTACAAATACCAAAACAGAAGACTTTCCCATCTCTTTTTGATACCTCATCGCGTCCTGGGGTGCTATGGAATGTTTCTTTCAAGCTCTACACTGTTCATAGCGAATACTACTTTTGCCTCAACAAAGCAACGCAGCTTGTGTCATTCCTATGGTTTTTTTGGGGTTAGGAATTCTGACTGAATAATTGCTGATTATTGTGAATTTTTGTCGGTCCTCTCCAGTATTTGGAACTTTCAAATATATAAAAATGAATAAATCCATCCTGAATTTCTATGCAGTTACACTTTATGTCTCAATTTTATGCAAAGTTGAAACAGATGCACGCAACAGCCGGACAGAAGTGTTACTGGGGCGATGCCGAATAAAAGGAGAGCTGGTTTATAAATAACCAACTTCTTTCCATACAATGCTTCTATCCTGAGACATAATTTTGTAATCCGACTTTGGAGGAAATTTTTTGAATTAACCTTTTAACTCCCAAGATCTCATCAGTAATTCTCCTAACTGTCTACCATACAGTTCCTTTGATGTTAGTTTGGAGAATTTGGTATTGGATCAACTAATAATCCCCTAATTGATTTTTTTCTTTTTTCTCACCACTTGTCTGCTTGATAGTGTATTGATATTGTAAGGAGAAATTCTTTCATGATCACTCATGGGAGTTAAAGAGTTAAATGAACTTAAATGGATAAAGGAAAAACGCTCTTTTCACACAGTTTCAAACGCTTTCAGGTGATTACTGAAGTCTCTTTCAAAACCAAAACCGTAGCAAGTGCCGGACAAAAAAGTGAAAGATAGATGTTGATACATAATAACACCTGTTTGCTTTCTAGAAGACTAAACTCAATCTCAGTAAACAATTGCCGCATTGTGGTAACCACTTCCGTTGTGTTAGCTTAATTGGTACAGGATAAAGTCACGAATGTCTTGTTTACGAAAATTTACGGTGTATGGTCGCGTTAATTGAATAATGAGTGATACATACTAGATTAGTCGAACTGAATTTTCCAACTCTAGTCAAGGTCAGACTACAGTAGGAACGTGTTACAAAAGCCTCCTCATGCAAAGGTCTCAGTAGGGATCATTCAGGTGTAATATACCTCGAAGGGATACGACCACTCAAGCGAGTTTGGATTAAAATGTTACAGACGAACTTCGGGAGTGCAGTATGCTATTGAATAAGAACGGTCTATGCATTGGGTCTGTTTTCTAATGACTATTCCTTCCCGCCCAAGCATGATTCGCTGAGAGCAGCTGAACGCACTCTGACTTTGTAATTGCTCGCTGGATTTAATGAATGCACAGGGGACTGGACGAGATTACGGGAGATTGACTGTGGGCGCACAAAATTTGATAAGAACCTCTACACCTGGGATTAAATGGAAGTAATTAAATGGAAGTACGCGAGACCGGACGAGGGTGCAGAGGATTGGTTGAGAGCAAATGAGTTTGGGTGAAAAAACCCTGCATTGGACGAGAGCGCATGAGGGAACCAAAGATGGGATGGCTAGACGAAACCTCGAGAGATCGGAATCGGAACAATACGAGTGAGACATGAAACATGACAAAGCAAGAGATTAAAGAAAACGCTCACCAGAGTTGTTGCGCGAGAGTGTTTGATTTGGTCACGCAAGATTGCTGGGCACCTCTCGTGGTTATTAGGTCACGCAAAAGATCGGATAAGAGTGTATGCAAGGGAAAAAGGGGCACAAGACAAAAGTTGCGACTGCCAAAGATCCCAGAAATGCGCTCGAGGATGGACGATAACGCACCAGATTGGCTTTCAATGTGTAGGATTGGACGACAGCAAAAAAGATAGGTTGAGAATAATCGAGATTACATGTGAGGCACGCTAAACCAAGGGAGCGCAAGAGATTATTTTTACGAACACAGAGGCCTCTAGATGGTCGTTACTTTCTTTTTCTTTAGCTGGATGTCATAGCAGAAGATTAACCGTCACATTTGACGCCTTTAGTGAAACACATCTGCAAAGCACGTTTTTCTTTACCTTTCAAATTTAATGAGCAACTCAACAGTACATCGAACTATCGTGTACATAAAAACAACGAACACTAAAACATTACAGAAAGACAAATAGTTCACAAAAGGAGATTGAGAATTTAGGTTATAAAAACGCGGAAAAAATTAAAATTGACCGATTTCTCCTCTTCGGCTTACGCATGATAACTAAGTAGAAATTGCAAAAAAAAAATAACAATAAACATTGGAAAATTCACAGAGTGGATTGATTTTTCACAGACAAAGAATCTAGAGAAAAGCTCAAGAAACTGAGCAGCTTTCTGGACATTCGCAACTGCTACTCAAACAATTTGGTACCAAAAACTAAAAAAATTGAATATTTACAACGATTAGGTATATGTTCTAATGAAATCAAGGTGCTATACCTCGACACGAGCATAAATTTAAAATAAAAAAATTAATACAAAAAAAAATGCGGTGATCCTTTTTTTCGGCGGAAATTGCCTCTTCAAGATAGTAAATTGCGTACTTTTTGTTCACACTCCACCGGCGTTGACATTAATTAAACTGTAGCCTGTGGAAAGGCTCCCATTCTACACCAAGGATTCAAAGGAATGGCATGCACTCGCCTTGGTCAGCAGTCTTTTGAGCATGTTGGAAGGTCAATTAAAGTAAAAAGAGGAAAGCAAAAATCTAATTCTGTAAATCTAAGGGATCATTCCTCAGAATCTCGTTTATGTTCAACCGGTCTGAATGTCTTGAAAGTTCTTTTCGTTATCGTAGTGTGGTATCTTGAGGTAGAAAATGATCACGGAAAGAAAAAATGCCACCCCTGTAAAGAAGAAGAAAAACCTGTCAATCACGGAGGCAGCGAAATGCCACTTCTCTTTATTTCGCATCGATTCATCGTTTTTCTCGACGGCTTTACTAGGATTGTCGGAGAGTTTGTCCGTTATTTCTTCCAGCTCTTCATCCATGGAATTTTTTACTTTTCCCTGTATTCGACCGTCGTTTAAGGAGCTGGTACCATTAGCTCTACACCCCAGAAGGCGATGCCACAATGTACCTCTCAATCGACCTTTAGGGTAAATCATGTTATTGTGGCCGTATCGCTTCTCCGACAAGTTCACAGCCATTTTCATTCTCAACAGTTTCGCCAACCAGCCAACAATGAAAAAATTCACCCATGCGGGAACTTTCCTCTCCGGTTCACTAAAATGATAAAACCTTAAAGTGACCGACGTTCCCATCAAACAAAAGGCCACCTCAAACAAGATCACGATAAAAAATTTGCTGATCAGAGGTAGTACCTCTGAAGTCTTTGGAATGTTCTCGGTGAAAATGAGCATGTATACTGTGAGGCCAAGTAAGAGAGTAATCACCAATGCAATTCTTTCTCCGGATCCTGGCGGTAACGTGAAAGAAAACACTGTCAAAGTGGCCAAAAGAATGCAAGGTAGAATCAAATTCTGAACAAAAAACAACGGTCGCCGCCGAAGGTGGACCCTAAATGTTATGTCAACGTAAGGATACTTGCAGCAGCTATATTTAACAACATTTCGCGTCGCATTTACGGAGACCAATGTCCACTGACCATTACTGGTGTACTTTTGCAGGTCAGCAGTCTCGCTCTTGCGAGCCAAGTCAAGGAATTGGCTGTTGTAGGTCCATGATCCGAAAGTAAGTAAACAAATCTGCTCGTCAAAGGGAAAGAACGTTATGTCGATCTTGCAAATGGATTTGATTTCCGTCGG